ACTAGGCACGCATAGGATACAAAAGCATAGCGGAGACGATTTTGAAGTAAAAGCTAATATCCTTGCACAGGAGTCCAAAACACGAGCTCGAAAACATCTAGAGGCTTTTTGGATCAATGCCAAAAACCCTACAATGAATAGCAGGGACGAATGCCCGGAGGTCATACGCGACCTGATCCCGTACGTTCGCATCGATTTTTGATGTGGGATGGTGCAGTCGTCAACCACATGCGACTATAATCAGCTGTTCTAAACTTCCTCATTGGAAGTCACGAAAAAACGGTGGGTTTTTTCGAGAAGTTGTTGATCATGTAATTACCAAAGAGTCTTTCGTCTTTGTGTAAGTGTTATTGAAGCGTTTGGCCTAGTAGATTGTATATCAGTATACCCTTCCAGGCTCTGAAGAGGGCGATACTGCCGAAACGTCAGCTAGCGTTGTATTGCATTGTGTTTTTCTATGGAAGTAAATGTATGCTGTTTAAAAACCTCGCGATTGCTGAACAAGAAAACGACACATTCATATACCAACGCCGAGTTTAATAGAAAGTCGATCCTGGGAACTGTTAAAAATAAGATTATTATATTAGCAGAAGAAAACGGATTTTTTTCACTCGCGCTGGTTGTTTCGTCCAATTTTTTCTTTTTTTTTTTGTTAAAGAACATGCACCAAGCACATTAAATAAAATAAAATAATAAAAACACTATAAAACTGGAAGAATCACCGTTCCATTTGCCCAGTAATACACAACTCGCATAAGATCAAATCGCAGTTCATCACCAATGTCGACTATTTGAACTCTCAGCTTAGCACCAGCGTCCTTTATTTTCTGATTTATCGACAGCAAATCCTCCTTGAGCTGAAATACCACAGTAATTCAGGACACTGAAGTGCAAGAAGACAACAGTTACTATGTATGCACACCAGAATCCAACAGCAGTTCAACAATTCGAATATTATTTGAGAAGGCTATACGCAAAACACTGAAGTTAAGGTGGCATTTCCACAACCTCTTAAACATGGTAGCAGTTTACGAAACATGTTTAGGATCTCATAAACTGATGTTTATGAGCTGATGCAAGGTTGGTATAGGTTTTCGTTGTCGTTGTTGTTGGTGTTGTTGGTCGATGGCTGACGTCTCGGCGATTTTGCCTTTCTCAGAGCACTACCGTTATAAGTGGGACTGAGCCTGAGTGATCGAGTTATACCAACCTCACGTCAGCTCAAAAGCAACACTTTATAAGATCATATAATTAAGTATACCAACTATTTATGTCGAGGTTCAAACAAAGTCGTTCTTTTGACATATAAAGAAAATCTATCATTGTAAATTTCTCAAAAAAATCTAATATTCTCAGCATAGATTTCACAAATTGAGCAAAAAAAAATTAAAACAAGATTAAACCTTAAGGAATATGTCGTCTTTGCCAAACACTGCTCCTTCACCGCTTTTGTGCTGGCAAGTGGTCGCCGACAACATTGCTGCTACTTCAGCTGGTGACTTCTCGTGTAATTTTTTCCATAAAATCAACTCAGTTATAAGCAATTCCTAAAACGATGCATAGGTTTAGTTACCACAAAAAACAAAGACAATATCAAGCTTTTAAAGGGAATAAGCGCTTTTTAACTAAACTCATCTAGATATTCTAAATACGGAAGAAATAGGAGGAAAAAGAGAACAGAAGGAAATAGAAATAGATTATAGAAGAAAACGAATCGAATGTGAGAAGAGCGGGGATCCGCAAAGTAGACGTGAAAGATAGATTGCATAAAAATAAAAAATAAAAACAAAGAGAAGCTGAAGTTCGTATTGTTGACTTTCCTCTCGGTTCAATTTCTTAGCCTTTCTTCACTGGTACATCATAGTGGGGGTGTAAGAATCTACCAATTCACATTCGCTCCCATTAATTTTCTAGATCACCTATACATTTCCAAAAATACTTGGAATTTCGGAAATAAATGTAGGTCTGCACACTCAGAATTGCTAGTTGAAATAGTTAACACTCCATAAAATAACTACTAGGTTTGCCTCAACAGAGCGATCACTGTACCATCTGTGATGTGTTATCTTCGTCTAAAATTGAAGAACGCCCAAAGACATCAAACAGTCCTACCTGATGATGAATTTCGCACGCTACTCGACCCCGGAAAGTCACCATACCCGATTTATCAACATAACCGAGCTGCTTCAACACCTAGAAGAATCCATGCTTGACATATGAAAGGTTAATGAAGGAATTCCAATGTGGGCTACGTACTGCGATTTTATTCTGATACTCCTCACTAAGCTGAAGAGCGTTTGCCGACAAAGAATACTGCAGTTGTCTCACGCGCCGTTCGACACGAATTCGATCACGAAGGCATTTCATCTATAAATATGGATGTGTAATACGCGAACAAGCAAAAACAACATTTCAAAAAAGGCGAGCATACGTGTTGTTGAAATCTCATACAGTTCCGAACAGTATGTTTGGAAGGGTCAAGAAGTTTGTCGCGAAGATTAAGGAAACTTCGAAGTAGTGCATTCAATTCGACATCCGTTACAGTAATGTCAACAGCAAGGTCCACCAACTGTAATAGTAAAACAAATTTTCGTCCTTAACCGGTGTGACGTAATACCGCATTTCGGTCCTTTTAACATCTCGTTGAGCCAATTAGGTTAAGACGTATAATAAGTCTGGATTAACGAACATTATGACATGCAAAACAAACCGATTTGCAATAGTTCACGTTAAACAACAACAAATACCGAAAAGAGTTGACTCCAATTTTTAAAAAATGCAACATAGTTAACGCTGTCAAAAGGGTAATTAAAGCTAAAATATCCACACCTCAGGTCCAGAGCTGGCCCATTCCTCGGTCAGCTTATCCATTTCATGGACTATCTTCAGTACATGATCCGAAATTTGTTTATTCCTAAGAATAGATTTGTACAGTCTTAGCAAAACTGTTATCAGACTTCTCTTTCTATGAAAAAAAGCTCTCGCAAATGTCTAACCGGGCAGTTTTGTACTACACATGATTCACTATAAACTTCTTAATAAGTCACTCTATAATTCACCCAATTAAACCAATAAGTGTGCCAATATTTTTACAACAACGCAACTCTCGAGGCGTAGCATTTCCTATCTCTAAGCGCACTTGATACACCTACAGGTGCTAGGTTTTTTTTTCGAAAATTAATGGAGGATTTGAAATTTTGCGTTCCTTTAAACGGTTTTAATAACTATTTTTGGAATGCCGTAGTATTATAATCGAACTAGCACCATGCTCGTGATGACGGACATCACTACCACTGTGCTAAACCAACGCAAAGCGTACTTTATTGATGTCCTCTCTGTATGGTTGGACTATAATAAAAATCGCACGTTGTATGAGCTTCATATAGGTTACAAATTGTGATAACGAAACAGGTCTAATGACATTTCCACAAATAAATTTCTATAAACTCAAATTCGGGGACGTGAAATGCAAACGGCTGGAAACACTAGCGAGGTATGGGACCAAGGAAGTGTTAATGAACCGTGGCGTAACGTTGCTTCCAAAAAATGAATTTAAGGCTTTGGTGGAAGCGAATACGTGTGCGACTGCTCGATAAGTTGTACAAAAATTTGAAGCAAGCGCTCCAACTGTTTCGGAGACTAGAAGTGGAAAGTCGAAGCTCGACAAATGGGTGCCGCACGAACTGAATGACGAACAAAGAAATCGTTGTTTGAAGCCGGCATCGGCGCAACTTCTGAGCAAAAATAACGATAATTTTCTAGAGTGTATATGATTTGTGACGAGAATTAATGCTCTATGATAACCGGAAACATTGGCTCAATGGTTGGGCCGCAACAAAGCTCTCTAGCGCATCCCAAAGCAGAAACCACCAAAAAAATTCAAACCGACCTTTTCGTGATGTAGAGCTGGTTTGATCCATCAAAGCTAACTGAGTCTGGGTGAAACAATTATAGCGAAGAAGTCATCTATTATCTATCATCGAACCAAATGACTTGAGCAATCAACAGCAAACTCCTCACTTCTATCTGTTGAGTGCAAAAGTAGCCCGGTGGAATCTGGTAGCTCTAGGGACTCGTTGTGCATCGTAGCACTTTCGTAAAGAAATCTGACTATCGGATCAGCCGCTTTACCGCCGAGCGTTTGACAACCTACGGAATCCAGCTGCTAACGACTTCTGTCTATCCATTGAGTTTCAGATGAATCACATGTGTCCAGCTCATCCGGTTTTCGACAGTGAGCGTAGAGTGTGAAGTACGTCGTAGCATCGGATTCACTCCTTGAAATGCGTGAGACGGGACACTCTTAGCATATATCCAATGCGCGTTCGATAACGCTGAGTGATCTTTCATTCTGCTTACGTAGTAATAAGCTTCCCAATGCGCACGCTAAACGAAGAAGAATTGTGTACTAGCTCCAAAAGCTGGGCACACAGTCGGATGTTTTTTGTTTTATGCTCATAAAACCTCCTCAAGCAGCTCGCCACATCCTACTCAACACTGTGGTTAAATAATTCACCAACGTGCAAACTTCTAAAGGCTTTTTGGATAAATACCAGGAACCCTAGAATGAATAGCAGGGATGAATACCCAGAGATCACACGTGATCTCACCCCGTACCTCCGTATCGATTGTTGATGTAGGGTGGCGCATTCATCGACCATATACGACTCCGATCAGCTGTTCTTTCCCAGTGGAAGGCACGTAATAAACTATGGGTTTTTCGAGAAGCTGCTAATCGTGTAATTCCGATTTAGATTTTCGTCTTTCTGTATGTGTTATTGGAGTCTTTGACATAGTAAACTGCCTACTCTTCCATGCTCTGAAGAAGACAATACCGCCGAAACGTCAGCTTTAACGGAATAAAGAATAAAGTAACACCTCGTGTTTGCTCAAGAAGAATATCGAAAACTATTTGATCAATGCCGAGGTTAATAGAAAGCCGGTCTGGTAATAATTCACCATGTTGACTTCTCAACCTAGATGGACGGAGCTAGAGCGTTCGGAGATATTCATCCAATTCAGCTTGAATGGTGCATACGAAAGCAATCCGTTCTGCATGAGTACCGTTTTTGTGCTATTTAGTCGAAGACAAATCTTCTCACAGGCGTTGTCAAAGTAGGCTAACTTTCCCAAAACCGACTTTCTGTTAACATCGGCATTGATTGATAATTCGATGTTTTTCTTCAATAAGCAGACACGAGGTTGTTATTATAGAATTTATTAGGATACAATAGCTGACGTTTCGGCGGTTTCGCCTTCTTCAAAGCCGTTTATTTGTTGCAAGTATTTACGTCAGTTGATGGATAGCAACTGCACAGAGTAATACATGGGCGATAACTCCGGTATTCTCCCAATCCTGTTTAGGACGATTGGAGTAAAGAATTTGCAAACGATAGACAGCAATAAGATTGGGCGATAGTTGCCGATAACGTAGAGATCACATTTCATGAAGAACACAGCCTTCCTGGTCGTCCACTGAGCAGGAACCTTAAATCCAGATAGCTAACATATGAAGATCAAAATCAGTGTTTTGATGAAGGTTGGCGGATGATTCTCCAGGTGTTCAGATCTTACCCTGTTCGGGTCAGGTGTTGTTCGATTTTTTACCGACGAAAAAGCATGTCGGATTTCGGAAAGAATAACCGATTGGACGATATATCCAACTTCCTTTACAAGTATGAGGGTAAGAGAACGTGGCCAATGAAGAGATCCGCATAGTGATCGTGAATGATTTCCTGCACTGCCTTTCTAGAAGCCGTGTTTCGCGCTTGGGCGTCGAAATTCAATCATTTTGGTTTTGTAACTGGGAACGACTCGGTGGACTTTGCGAATGCTTTTCCCAGCATCTGCAGGTTCGACCATAATTGTTTCTCTTCTCTGTTCGAAATCCTCTTTTATCACCTATCCGCAGTTTTGTAAGTTCGGACATGGGTTGGCGATTGCTTACGGTCCGTGCTATTTCTGCTGTCGTATCAGCTCTAATGTTTCTGGAGAAAGACTTATCTTGGTGACTTTCGAACTTTCAGTTTTCATAGCACTGATGTTCAATGAGCCGATCGTGTTCCTCGTCAGTGTTGTGAATAATTCCATCATCGCAGCAGACGAATTATGAACTGAATAAATGTCGGTTTGTTGTGGTTTTGGAACATCATCTTTTTTTTAATTTGACGGCTTTTTCCCCTTTCCGCGACAGATGAAATCTTGCACAGAGGAGCCGATGGCCTGATTTCGTGTAGAGATTTGGAGTAAGAGCGACATCGGTTAGACAAAACCCTCGATTTACTATAAGGTGGTCAATTTCAGTATGGTACTCTCCACTAGGAAACTTCCACGTCCAGCGTTGAGACTGAGGCTTGTATAATTGCGAGGTACCACGAACTGTCTTGCTCGTCATAATAAACTCAGAGAGTCCCTGTTCGTTACACTCTAATCCGTGGGACCTAATATGACGTTCTTCATACGTTCTTCTGGATCCAGTCTCAGCGTTAAAATCTCCAACGATGACCATAAAGAATGTATGAAATTCTCTGTATAGCTTCCTCAAGTCCGTATAGAACCCTCGGATTATAACTTCATTGTAGCATGATATCTTTGCGTAAACGACGAAAACAGTCCAAGCCGGTATTGATCCACATCTCTTCAATCGTAAACGTCCGATTCGAGTTATTTGTGTTTCAAATGAATCGATGATAATCGATCTTCACGTATCGGCCGGTTCGATGACGTCGTACCTTATCCTTCTAGCTTACACGAATGGCTTCTCTATGGATGACTCAGATGCATGTGAGCGTGCACTGTAGGTACAGACAGTCACTTTAGTGATTTAGGCAGCCTAGAATATTGGCTGAGATCTTAGCAGACTCTCCGTACTCGTCCCACCCAACGCTGCTGTATCCGAGACCTTTTCGAGATCACGAAAAGAAGGCCCACTTATTTTACTGCGTTTAGCGTATAATACCCACATATAGCTTGCTGAGGTTCAAACGTGGGTGTTACGTATATTCACGGCTAGCTTGTCAGTCTCCCCCAGAGCAAACGGGGAGTTGATTTGTTGGAGAGGACTAACGGCCTCGCATATACTTCCTTGTCACTTCGTCGCAGGCCTTTGGTCCAACTGACTCGTAGAATAGCACCCGCATAAACGAGAACACACCAGTGCACGAATGCGTGGATATGTTTTCGTAAACAAGGAACGTATATATCAAATCGGCACAGCAGGAACAGGAAATCCATCCCTTAGATGCACCTGAGTAGCAGCGTTTAACTCCTGTCCACCACCTGTGGACGAGCGACATAGCCCCGCGACTAACCAGATGGGATCTCTCAAAGAACGACGAAGCGCCTCCAGTAAATCGAAAAAATTCGCCAAAAAAATTCAAAGACAATGACATTCAATAGTCAACAAAAAGGTGCTAATCATTCTCTACGATAATGCATAGCCGTATACACAATTGACGCAACAAAAACTTCAACGAGCGTAGCTGCGAAAGTCCACTTCATCCATCCTTTTCTTAGCGACCACCAACTATTTCAATAAGTTTCTGTGCGACGAAAGCTTCAGAAAACCAGCCAAGGCTGATATAGCCGTCAACGATTTCAAGGCCACCAAAACTTCAGAATTTTAGGCAACTGGAATAAACAAACCTGTTCCACGGTAGTAACAATGTGTAGATTTATGGTTTCTATTTGGGTTAATAGTGGTTTTTCAGAGTTGAAATATGCCACTTTGAAGATATACGATGAAATCCTTAATTTCCAAACAATCTGATATTGTCATTCGCTTTTCACAACAATGTACAATTTTGCACAGCGTCACATTCTTCATAAAGAAGGGGTTTATTTTGGCTGATAAAAACAAAATTCCAATCAAACGGAATAACCTAACACAGAACATTAACCCTGTATCATATTTTAATTTAATAGGGAAGACCAGTGCTCAGTTAGGAACAATAAACCGAAGTCAAATCCATTTACAGGCTGCAAGAATGGAAAACGAGGAATAGTGTTCAACATATTCGCCGCTGTACTCGATTTTCGACAACGGCCGATAAATTTTTTTTAGAACTTTTGAAGCGTTGAGTGGTTTCAGAACCTATGCAATAGACATCTCTCTCCCATTCTAACGCGCGCATAACTTTTCTGAAATTTTATCTCAGTTTGAAATTCATTCAAAAGTTAAAATTTCGAAAAATTGAAAACACAACGCGAGTGCCATAGTAGTAAACACGGACGATGCATTCGTGGATATCACCACCATTCGCTGAACGAGACTCATCTTGGTAAATCGTTTCGCTCCGAGATACAAGGTTCGCTAAAATACCGCGAAAACAAGGATTTTTGAGTTCTAAAGGCCTACTACTTTGTCCAGATGAAATGAGCAAATTTCCGCATTGAAAATCTGCAGATTCTACTGACTTCTATTACAATTAATAAAGTTCGCTACGAGTTAAGGCATGTGTGCTGAAAGAAGAAAAACACAACTGTTTTCAAACACCTATGGATTCACATCTAAACATCCTTAACCCAAAGCGCCTTAGAAAAAATATGTCCTCAAGAAATAATTCCCGCTTTTTCTATTTAGAAAATGTTTAGAAAAGTGAGAAAATACCTACTACTTGTCAGAATAGTCATATCTAATGTTAGTCCATAAAATAGAACCGAATACTCGGGTAAGACGTTCTAATATTCGATGAATAAATGTCTGTGCCTACAGCAGATTTGACGCACGTGGATTGGCCAAATGACGTACACCTAGCCAGAATTTATTAGTATAACATAGGGGTGTAAGATAAAGAGAGAGGAGGCACAGTGTAGTGGAAAGAATTACCGCATGAACGATGCAGACAAGCGCGTTAATTGTGGAAGACGAAGAAAAGCGCGCCAAGTAATTATCGTTCGTCAGGGAGGTCAGTTGGTCAGAGTGACACCGGTGAATAGGTCACGGCACAAAACCCACTCGGTCAACCCACTTTCACCTTCTTGGTTCACCTTTTTCAGATGCTGCCATGTGAACTGATCCTATTTCTATTCGCTGTACACGGTGAGTCTATTGATTTTATTCACAGATTCAATAATGCTTCGACTGTTTTAAAGTTCTCTATGAATCATTGGTTAAGAACAGAAGCTAACATTGGATCCTTAAAGTGCCACTAAACTTGAGATCTACCATTAAGACAGAATTCAGGAAAAGCGGATATAACTTCTTCCTCTGATCTGAACTGTGACTTTTCGTCTAATTGCCGCTGGAGGAACGCTAGTGTAGAAGACAACGGTGACTGGCTAATCAACAATCGATATGACGTGGACACTGCTTCTTTAATTATTCCAAGAAAACTGGATAGTATGTAAAAAATACTACTAGTGATTATATCATTAAACTAATACTAGATATTTTCTTTCACAGAGGGATTCTTCGCTTATACAAATGGTTTCATGGGACGTTCTATCGCCTTACTGGTGTCCGATGTTGCTAACTGTCAGCTTGGTGGAGGCAGTATTACGTACTGGTACTTCAAAACTGGCGACGAATCGAAGCTAGAAGTATGCATGCGACAACCGCCTGGAGGGAAGGACCTCATCTCACTTAAGTAAGAACCATTGTCATAAAAACACTTCATGCTACATTAAAGTCTCCATATTAACAAAATGTACGATGCATCTTGTGGTTGTATTTCACATAATACCCTACCATGAAAAATGAATAAGCAGCAAATAAAAATTAAAATATACGATGTTCGTCAATCTAATCTAAAACCATTTCAGATGCTATGATGGCTTATCGCCAAGTCTGGTAAGGCAGTGGATTTTCCGAGTCGTTGAGTTACCGCCGCTCTCCCAACCCTTCGAAGTAGGTAATGCAGATTTCACTGCTAAGTGTTTTAAAACACAATATTTCATTCAGCTAGTTTTCCGAGGAATATTTTACCCACCAATGGACGTTATCGCCGTCACTGATATCAGCTATAGCTCAACTCTCTGCGGTATGAATTCTTTTTGAACACAGCACAACAATCTTCGTTATTTTTCTTCTACACCAAAAGAATATGTAAACATATAACAAAAATAGTAGCTAAATATCGTAAATAGGTCCTTTCAGAAAATCACAGTCACCAAATGCAAGAAAAACGACGATCGCCACCTCACCGGATCGGTTTTTACGATTGGCAACACCTTCGACAATCAGAACATTACCATGGACAGACCATGATAATTGTGTCCCAGCCCAAAACAAAAACCAAAACTGTGGATTTGCAAGTGAAGAAAAACGAAGATTTACCCCTTGAGGCAGTCAATACATCGGTAGCATTTCCCAAAATAATCAACTCACCGTTAACCACCACTTTGCCTCCGAAAACGAAAACCTCCACTGCAATGGTGCCAACATTGGTTACGACTAGCAGTAATACCACTCCTGAATTATTAACGACATCGATTATTCCTGCTTCCACCAATGATCCCCTTGCGAACATTACGTCTCTTCTCAGACAAACTGCGCCAGCCCTATTCTATATTCCTGTTCTCATAGAGATTCTTCGATCCGCTGAATTGTGGAATCCAGGCGATATAAAGGCACCGTTTCGGCAACCAAATTTGCTTCAGAATAGTCATGCCTTTGGTGTAAAGGAAGAACTACGACATACTCCTGTTGATTTCAATGATTTTCGCCAGAAACAAGGATTTACGGACCTAGCTATTAAAAATCCAATCATTCCAACAAGGAATATTCTGAGTACAACAATTGCACCGCTTCAGTTTACGTCTCCAGTAGATCTGTCATTTCTCAAAGCACGGAAAAATACCTATGAAATTGCAATGACTACGATGAAGCCAGAACCAACTTCTAGAGAAAAATATCTCTCACGAAATACGCATTCCAGAAAGAAAACCATTGCCATCAATGTAAAGACTGGATCACAAGACATGGCTATTAGAGCTTTGCACAGAGAGTTGTTTCAGCGAAAAGAAAAATACGAAATAAACACCACCACCCCCATAAAAACGAGATCACACAACAAGTTAGTAGTATTCAAGAGACCTAGTAGTACTGAGTCGGAAGTGGCAATGAAACTCACTGAATTAGTAAAATATCTGCCCCTGGAATCTAGCGATAACTTTGAACTACTTCAGCAAATTCCAGAAATTTATAATTTGACACGAGGCTTGGATCTAACACAGGTTTCTAAACGCGGAGGGATTTCGAAGTTGAGGAACCAGTTTTTAAAACGGCTTATGCATCCCACGAAGGGCATCTCATTTTACAACACTTCCATTTCTCAAACAACATCAACTGTATCTCAACGGCGATCACGAAAAATATCTAGAATTCGAAAATCCAAAGCATAAGTAATAAATGTAACAACTTTTGATCACATACATGTCTCACTAATCGGTTCTATCCGAGATCTACCATTATTAAAAACTACATATGTATATATATATGACATATATGTATATATAAATGTGTATGTGTATATATGTAAATATGGTTTAGGAAAAATCAAAATTCAGAAATTTCGAACAATGGTGCACAGCAAAGTGCTGGAGGAAGTTTTGAAAGAGGAGATACCGCAAAAGGTGTGGAATTCGACGAAAGAAATGGTGAGTCGAGTGATGCTGATAGTAGGTAACACGTCAGAACACAGTTCAGGAGAGCTATTACAAAGTTCGCCTACTTGGCAAAGGGGTTATTTAGAATTGCTCCTCGTCATAAGTGCATAAATTTGGGCAAATATTCGTTTTTCCAGTCTAATTTGATGAAGAACCACTGCTAATTCCTAGATGTGGAATTTGCGATAGCCGAACAGGATCCCAAGATACCGTTTCAAATTGAACATCAACGAGCCCTGAACTTCGCTGCACCGACGGCGTTTCGAGAGAGCTTCAGTGAGCAAAGTTCGCCACGTGTGGGAGTATCATTCGCTCCGTTGTGCCCAATGATTGACTGCAGCTTTGATAAGAGCGTGAGATACAAAATTCTCTTCCATTCTAGCAATTCGCAAAGCATAAATGAGAGACATAATAAGTCGATCCAAGTCAGTGTCCATATCCTTGAGTTCTCATCATTTCTCCAACTAATGATGGCAAACATATGAGAGCATAACACTAACAGCCAATAAAGCACGCTAATCGGCTTTCGCGAATAAGTTCCTCTCCTTTCACCACTATTTCATATACTCTCATTAGACAATGTGTAATTACGTCACCAGCGTCACGGATCCGAGAATCAACGGAACTCTTAAAGATTGGGAAATATCAACAAAGGCCGTCTTGAACTCGCTCACTGGGATACCTCAAGATTTTTCCAAATGTGAGTGAGAAGAAAAGTCTGTGGTTCACAAATTAAACACTTTTAGCGAGAAAAGGGCAAAATATATTAGTTTTAACCACTTTCAGCCGGTTCATTTATTTATGCCGGCGGCAAAAACGTCTCGCCGCATGACGTATACATACTCTCCAGTAAACTTCCTGTGGAAATCAAAGAACAAGCTCGCTTGAACTTTTTTGTCTACCAAGCAGGTAAGCAATCAACGCATTTACCTATGAATCGGAAAATCTTGATCTCTTTACTAGGAGTTAAAGGACGTCTCCAAGTCTGCATTAACACCATCAATAACTGTGCACTTAACATAAAAGGAAGTACTATCGATATCAAAGCGCGAAGATGGAAGAATTACCACGTCCCGTTGGCGCCCGACACACATGCAGTGAGTTCCACTAACACTAGTTGTATATCCAACGCTAGATGAATTAATTTTTTTCAAAACCAGACTAATATATATCGGTGGGTTGATGACGTCGACACTGGACTTCACGATAAATTATGTATTCTAGGTTAACACATTAAAGACGACATTTACTAATCATTAAAACCCTTAAAATCTACAAGTCCTTTGCAAAGTTATACAATATTTTTAACGTGGTTACATTCGGATTTCTGAAGCCCATAGCATGAGGACTCGCATACTTCGATCACCGGAGCGAATGACCAAAAGGGATTTCGTCAACAAAAACATCGTTGAACCCCAAATCCCTCGTTGATTATGATATTTGTGTTTGTGCTACAACTCTTCACTATTATATCTTAAAAAAATTGAAATTAAATGTTTTAGAGAAGTTATGCACACGATTAGAGAGATCGGGTTAAGTTTCTTCTAAAAGCTTTCTTAAGATGCCAAATTAAGAAACACTGAAGTACTGATTGCTGATAGTACCTATACCTGGTCAATAACACGATTAAGAGACAAGCGAAACGAATGACTCGCATGGTGTGGTGGTGAACGCGTTAGCCACCCTGAAAGGGTAATAGCGTGTTCGGTCACCACCACAGACACCAGCTGTACGGAGTTTTGCAAATATCTCAGCATCGTTGTGGTTGTATATCGCATAATACCCTACCATAAAAATTGTAGCAGGCAGAAAATACAAATTGAAAACGCTGAAATACTCTGTTAATCAAAAAACTAAGGACAATTAGGGAAAATCCAATGAAGTGGCAAATGTGTTACAAAGAGTTCCAATGCAAACTTTTCAACTACATAATTTCTTCTCTTAACCAATGATTTTGTGAAAGGAAACCATCAATTTGACTTTGTGTGAATAAAATTTCAAAGTTCACTAAGGACGTAGGAAATTTTTACACAATCGACTCTGCAGAAGTAGGATCTAATCATAATCTTAAACGAAAACTTTCAGATTCACTTCGTGGTAGACGGTCTTCACGACAACTACGCCATAGGACTAGATCAAATCCAATTACTTAATACGTACGGCACAGCCGCACAGCAATGTAAATGAAATTTGTTAGAACAAAAGTCTTAAACTCTTCAAGACATATTGATGTCACAAAATATAGAGAGGTTTTACACTATAATTCCTTCTCGTGCAAATACCAATCACTTCTCGTGAATATACCAAGCCTTTAGATGGACATGACACGAGTGCGAATAAATCATAGAAGGCAACAATCAACAGTGCTACTAGTTACAGCATAAATAAAAAAGGATAGTTCTCGGCGTTGATCAATTCATGAGGAATGCGCCATGCATTCGGCTTCATCAAGCATCATTTGGAGGTGATTGAATGCATATTTGGCCTTTACAATGACTTGTCGTGGTCTACCGATGTATCGAGCAAGTGCTGCTATCCTCCCAGACAAGTCTGGTACCAATTTGCAGATTCCGGAAGGACAGAGAGCTTGGTGGGCCATGGGCCCGGGTATCGATTCCACGTGTGTGCTGCAGGGCGCCTCCGACCACTACGCCACACGCGCCCATTAGTATCGGCGTCTGTCAAGATACAGCATGCATATAATTAATTCAGTTTCTCCAAGTACACTTATTAACGGCATGTCGCCTACATCGGCTACTTGAAAACCTGTTGACACATAATTACAAACTATAATCTTTTTATACTAAGCAGAGTAGGTAATCTACGCTACACCTATCGTTTAGTACTTTCAACAATCCGTAATATCCACTATTTGCCAATCGTGAATAGACGATAGGAAATTAGAGAACAAAACTGCCCACGTGTTTACTTTTTGTTGTGCTCAATACAACATAGTAGTCAATCAATCCTATGACTGCTTGATATAAATGTGAAACACATGAAAAGAATGCACAACTTTCTCCGACTTCTCGAATTTTTGACTCGTGTGAAACGCCTATCGCAAACCATTTTACCCGAAAAAAAAAATCCGCCTCATCCGAAAACATCGTGAATTACAGCAATAGTCATAGTGAAAACATATAAGGTGGCATGGGGTACACGACAATGTCTTCCTCGATATTTGCTCGGGGACTAGAGGAATGGTTTATGATGGAGCCCATCAGGAAGAAAAGAGCTGATTCGACCATCTCCCCAACGTTCTCACTCAATCATATGTGGGAACGCATTAGCTTTGTTGTTTCCAAGATTTCGATGAGAATCGACTCGACCAATATGCTACTGTACTTAGAAAAAGGACGAAATCCTCAAGCAGCAGCCAAAACGGCATGCGAAATGTCCGAATACCTTTGTGGATGACGAATGCGAGGAAAATAAATCCGACGCAATAAGTGCTGGTATCTCTGCAGTGGTGATGACGGATCATGTAAGGTAAGAACAATAAGTAATAATAACAATAAAAGTATATTCGCAGCTAATAACTAGCTTCCATCTATCCATCTAATATAATAATATCAAATAATAGCTTGAGGCGTGTGTAGCGCAGTGGTTCGAGGCATCCTGCAATAGACATGGGATCGATCCCCACGGTGGTGGTCCACCAATCACTCCAAACCTCCAGGATCGGCAAATTGTTACGACTTGTGTGGGAGGATAGCAGCACTGATTCGACATATCGATATGCCAACGCGAGTCAATATATAGGCCAGATTGTATTCAATTACCCCCAATGATGCATACTGAAGTAGAATGCATGGCGCATTCCTCAGGGATTGATCAACGATGAGAGCTTTATCCCTTTTATCCTTTTATTATATCTGCGCACGGTTAAACAGCCGATTCAAATGAAATGTCATAGTTTTCAAAATGGAGCACTAATAAAGTGGAAATGAGAAATCGACAAGATTCTTTTTCAATGAATTAGTATAAATTCAAAAGAATAATGCGAAATTTAACTATACCTCAGCCGTGGAATACAACGAATTTTCGCTTCATTTAGAACCTCAGCGACGTCGACTTTTAGCAGCTTCTTGCTAACACCTAGAATTGCTGACGACGGCAAATCATCTACCATGCGAAACGATCGTTCACCAGGCTCGTTCGAGCAATTCGGTGCTACCGATTCAAGACCCCAGTTAGTTAACCCCTCTAGTATGCAAGACTCTTCAAGCCACAGACGCTCCTGAATAACACAAGTTTGCGATACATAAAAGCAATCAGATTAATTACAATACCATATCACTATTTCATTGCAAGCATCGTAAGTATAAAATATCATTTTCCACTTCTAGTTTCAATGCAAACTCATGGGTGAACCCAAATTTTGTTTTAAAAAACTGGGTTAAACACTGCTATTCGTCAGCTTTTAGAAAATGTGATAGTAAATATGTAGGCGTAAAGAACATTCGCAACCTTCCAGTGGTCCTTAACCACGCATAACCAGTGATACTACAAAGGACTTCCTAAAAACAACGCATGCCTTTACAACCCATTTCATTTCAATAGGCACTAAGGCACATACCTCGGTAGAGAGTTGTTGGATTTGAATATCTTTTCGCTTTTGCTCATCAACACTTGACTTTGAGCATGGCAGCAGAACTTGGTATGCACGCTTACCATCACTGAGAAACTCCTAAGAAATTGAATATGTAGCTACCCAAACTTCTGCGATGATACAGCGACCTCTTATCAAGACCAACCTTTATTAGCAGTACAATTTGATTTTGTAACTGGTGTTGAGCACTAGATACAAGCAAAATGCGACCACATTTCAGCCGTTTATCCATCGCCTGAGCCGCTAAAATATAGGAATCACACAACTCATTATTGCAAGATAACGAGGTTCAATTTCCTGTGGTCAGAAATTAGAAGACGGTCAAAGAAAATATGGAGGAGATTCGTCAAAAGGAGTTACGGTCCAACGAAAAAAACCTCATTTTTTAGAACAGCACTAGAATGTCAACAAATCATTAATCTATAAAACTATGTTGGTATTTATAATATAAATCTGGAAAAGAAAACAACTCTTTGTAACTGCTAATAAACAATCCTACCAAAGGGTATTGCGTGGAAGTAATCCTACTTAAGCTTTGATCTGAACTAAAAAGGATAAGGATAAAGGGTTCAGCACTGATTAATCTCTAAGTGATGCGCATGCAGCCAACTTAGCCAAGCTTTGCAGAGTTGACTGAATGCATATTCTAGTCTATATAATGACTTGCGGTGGCATACTGATGTATCAAGTCAGTGTTGTCATCCTTCCAGGGAAACCAGGTACCAATTTGCCTACCGCAAGCGAGCCCACTGGGACGGCAATCTTGGTGACGACAGGACGTAATATCGAAGCAGAAATCGATCCAGTGTGTATTGTAGAGTACCTCTAACCATAGCACTACCGACTACTTTGGTGCTTCAAAATAAAAGTGACAAAAATACTTTGCTAGGCTTCATAAAACCAAAATCCCCTTTAGTAGGATGGAAAAACTTGTCTCCTACTGGCGAAGACATGTAAACTGCAATAGTTATAGTTTCCAATGATAAATGTTCTGATTTACTGATCACTTTACACATGATCTTGGACATGCTTCAAAGATCCAGAAATGAATCACAAGAAAGAACGCCTTGCAAACATACGTGACCTCGTCAAGTACCCCGGACTAATTCTTCGACCTGAGATATGCACATTTTTCACTTATGTAAGACTGTGTGGCTGATCTCCATCAATAACTGGAAGACTTGCCGTTCTAATTGATAATGATACAAAAAATGATTATCTCTTCTCTGCTCAAAAAAAAAAAAACAAATCTCAACTGTGGTTAACGGTTCCGCGATATCGCATCCTTCAAAGCCGTGATGATCGGAGTCGGGTACCTTTTTGTGAATAAAAGGACTGTGCTGGGTGATGCTACTTCATTCGCGCGGTCCATCATCTTACATAGCTTGACTTGATGCGACTACGAGCACCGAAAGAACTGCTGTGAATCCTGGACTCCAACAACAACGTCTCTGAAGAAGGCGATAACGCGGCAATATAGATTTGTTATATTCTCGCTCAAACATCAATAAACCAAAATGAACAGCTTAGCCCTAGAGTTGAGCAAGAGGAAACGAGCGGCTTAGGGAGCTTTCAAGAGCATCGAGGATGTAGTGAAGAGAACAAAGAACACGCGACTCCATGCCCACCTTTTCGACTCGGCGGTAGTTCCTGCGTTAACGTATGCGTCCGAAACCTGGTCGCTGCGTAAGCAGAATGAAAGGTCACTCAGCGTTACTGAAGGCGCAGTCAAAAGGACAATACTAGGAGTATCCCGTTTCACACAAGAGGGGATCCGATGTTCAGTCCCACGTCATACATCAAAAGTCAGAGAAAGTTATGTGTATAAACGACAACCGATGGACAAGAACCCTTAACGATTGGATTCCTTGGGATGTTAAATGTATAGCAAGAAGACCATCGACCCAATCAGATTTCTTCATAAAGACCCAAAGATATGATGCATAAAGAATCCCTAAAGCGAGCACAACCCAATGGGATACTCTTGCACGCGACGAGGAGAAATGGAAGTTGACTGGCACTCGCTCGGGTCGTTCGACCATCAAAGTGACAACAGATGGTTCAAGTGATGAGCTATGATATGTCGACTTAAGGTAAAAGTTCTTTATTCTATTTTTTTCATTACTATTATAATACCGACTGCTACAGAGTAAATTATCGGTTGAGAAATCTTATCAATAGACAATCATTTCGACAACAACCGCCATTTATGAAAGAGCATAGCTCATTCGAGAGACGTTCCACTGAAGAAAATCCGACTCGGTACGATAAAACTAATTTATCAACCACATGTGAGCTCAAAAACTTGACCAGACCGTTCAATGTTTTACTAGGTATTATAGAAACTGTGCTAGTCCTGTTGCCGTTCACATCCGTGAAACAGCCAGCAAAGATTTTTCTCAAGTGTTGTCGTTACGTGGCAAAAGATCTCGAGTTCTCCAATTTTTCTCGCGAAAACTTATGAATGTTGATCGCAGTGTATATGAATGGTCTGCCATAACAGCACCAATGAACAGTAACATATACATCTAGAGCGATAAAACAAAGGCACTTCTATAATTCCGCTATGTTCTCGATATAGTTTTTTATTTACTGCCTATACTTTTTGATGGTAGGGTATGATGTACAATATAACTACAATGATGTTGAGATATTTGCAAAACTCCGGACCGCTGCGCTGATGCGTTCACCATTACACCATGCAAGCCCTCCATTTCGCCTTTCTCTCAGCTCCTCTGTTCTCTTCTCAAGTCCTCCAACAATCGAAAAAGTCATCGCCTATTATCAAAAAACCAATATTGTTCATTATCTTTCTACTTCTGTTCAGCAAACACGAGGTGCTATTTTATTTCTTTATTTACGCACAAGCACACGTTTCGGCGGATTTCGCCTTCGTCAGAGCCTGGAAGGGTTAAGTTGACAGCAATCCACTCGGCCAAACACTTCCATAACCAAACAGAGAAAAATTGTTCATTATGTTCTGACGGCGAATGGCGAACGATTTGTACAGGTTTGTAGCCGATATGAAATTAGACGTCGTCTCATTCAGCAGACATGAAAAATTGAATGTCATGCCATAAGAAAACACGGATTCGGGTCGTTAGATTCATGCAATAAAGGCAGTAGAACGGAATTACAACGCAGGACGTTAAAGATTGCCCGGAAACTGTCCGCGTGGCTGGACCGGCAATAACGAAGCCTATACACAATTAATTGGATGAAGAATTGCATCTGTATATTAGTAACTGGGATGAATATCTCTTGGGTGTAAGTTTGACTCAAAAAGAGAAAGACCAATCTGCTGGCACCTACAAGTAAAAAATGAAGTCACGTCCGGGCAAAAAAATGCAAGGATAAAACGACATATCGACGACATATGGCATGTTCATGAAATTCACAAGCTGTTAATTGTTAAAATATGCACAGCTTTTCGTGTCACATTAAGTCACGGAAATATGACACCGTCCGAAATACTTTTAAGCACAAAGCTTAAAACAACAGCAATAGGTCACGGTAACAAAAGCAGGTCGGTACTTTTAAATATAAGTGATGAGCTCTGTAAAAGCAAAAAAATGATGAATACAAATCCCGCGAGCACCGAGCCGTTCTTAAGAAGTCTCCTCAATATGAATTAACATCTTTTCGTAATGCAAGGCCACGCAAGATCCCTAAGTGACTAATTTCGGCATCGAAATATCGTCACTATGCGTAGAATAAAACTTCTCTAGGAGCATTTCTAATGCATGTTGAATAAGATCGCTTGAAAAAAGGAAGCATAGCAAAAAAGCTTTATAGTGGAAAAATATGACATCTCATTAACATGGTAGCCTATTTATTAGAATTAAAACTAAAATTAAAAATTTTGTCACGAATGGAACTCACCAGTCAGTTTTGACCATAATTCTGCTCTTCTTTCGATAAAATCTACAAGCTCTTCATGATACAGCCGCAAGGGAGCGACACTGGAGGCTCCATCTGCACCGCACATCTGGCAGTTCACTACAGGAAGTGCAGATAGTTCCTGTTCAGCCTTAAAGTTGAATAGGCAAATATACACATACATATGTATACATATATACACATATTTACATATGTATATATACATATTCGTCAAACTCAGAAGTAACCAAAATTTAAAATATCAGGACCTCCATTTAACTACGTATCCCAGTAATGTATTATGGAAGTATGACGGGACCCAAGTACAAATACTCTTACACACAAAACCACACAAAATGTACATGGAGAAGTCCCTTCAAACCATATAAACATCAGAAAGCTCTCTTGTAAGGCTATTTAGTAACGAGTGTATTAAACAACTGAATGTTTTAAAGTGAAATTCAATGGCAAGAATTTACTCATCAGTAGTTTCTACTTTCCTCCCTATAGGATTTTTTCTTCGTGATATTTGTAACTGTAGTACCACAAATGAAATGGGAAGAGTCTCAACATTACTCACAAACCTTTTCCAGATTACTCTTTTTTGTTGGTGCTTCTCGAAGTGAAGCATTTTCTATAAATGACCTCTGCAACATGTCCTCTACTCGAAAATGCTCCACTCTCATTAAATTTAGCAGCATGGAGTACGTCACACGGAATTGTGATACAAGGGGAGTCGCTTTTCCCTTAAATGCTTATATGAATAAATGTGCAACTCACTTCATCAATGGACTATATAAATGGATCAAGGCGAACTAATATAAGAAAAGCCAGACCATCATTATTGTTTTAAGTTGACCGGCCTCAAGCAATTTTGGCTGTTTACATAAAACGATGACAGTTCCTGTAGTGTCGAGACCACGACGACCAGCACGTCCGGCCATCTACATATTAAAAGTAGGAAAAACGTAAAAGACTGGAAAATACGTTCCGTTCTCTGGTTTTTTTCTCTCAAAAATGATTTTGACTAATAGTCTTTCAATATTTACTGACACGAAGATATCCTGCTTAGGAAGTATCAGGAGTCACCTGTGTGTATTCGCCGGCATTCAGCAATCTCGTCTCCATACCGTCGTGTTTCTGTACACTGTCAAACACGACCGTTCGTGCTGGCATATTCACACCCATTGCAAAAGTTTCTGTTGCGAATAGAACCTAAACAAAAATCTTTCATGAAGACAAGGAAAACGGCTGGATATAAAACACTTACAACAACAGTAATAAAATACAAAACCATAGAAATGTAATGATAATCCTAGAGAATAAAATGAAATTTTTTTAAAATGTGCACGCCACAATGGTGCTGCCAGAACTTAATGCAAGCGTACGAGACGTTCTACTCCAATCTCAAAAGCACATCAAATGTCGAAAATCTCCAGGAAGATCTTAAGATAAAGGGTACAACTCTTAGCGTTGATCAATCTTGATGGATACGCCATGAATTCAAATCCACTAAGCATCGCTTGGAGGCGATTCAATGCATATTTGGACTTTACAATAACACGCAATGGCCTGCCGATATATCGGACCAGTGCTGCTATCCTCCAGGACAAGTTTGGTACCAATTTGCCGACAGCGTAGAGATCAAAGACTTAATAAGCCTTGAGGACGGGGATCGATCCCATGTTTATTGAAGGGCGCCTCCAACCACTACCCTGCACGCGCCATCATTCGAGGTTTTATACGAAGTTTTATACTTTCACAGTTTTTCCGCAATAGAAAGCACCATTTGTTGTTCTGCTGCAATGCATTCCTAACATACCTTGACATATCCTTTTTGGAAAAGCAATTCAACCACTTCCTTTAAAATCGGCAATATTCCACTATGATGCACTGCTAATCCACGTAAACATAGATCCTTCACTAAGTGCACCTGAAACAAAGTAATTCTCTGAGTCACCTATTAACTAATTTTATCTCGAAGGCAACATTTCGTTCACTAGCCGATCAAACCCAACGAGTAGTTAAAGAAAACACCTGAGGAAGTTTTTTATCCGAGCCTTTCAAGCGACTAGTACACTGCGAAAAAAATGTCTGTATGTGGAATTTTTCCACTTCCGTCGTAAGATCCATAGACGACAAAGCTTGCGCATTTTCGTCACACCTGCAACACATATCCAATTTAAGTCTGAAAGGAAGGAAATTTAACAAAGTCACTTCGACTGCATATTTTCATAACAACAAAACTTTAGGATTCCAGGCTACTAAAGATAGGTTATGTCCAGTCAACCTCTATAGAAAAAAAACATTGGCATATAGTCTGATCACTCAATGTGAGTGAAAACTGGAATCACGCAGAAAAAAGGGTAGAACTCCTACCAACGCACGAGAAAAAGACGTTTTATTCAATAGAACAAAAACCTCAGTAGAAACCTTCTTCGCAAGATTGCAAATGGATATAACACTTAACTTTAGTGATGGAGGGCCGCTACAGGAGAATCTATAGTAACACAGAAAAGCATGCGGTCGGAATATTTTAACAGCACCACAATTCGAATTTTGGTGAGTAGAGAGAACGAGGGGGTAGTTTAGTGGTGGTTAATCGATGCGGTCTATTAGGAAGCTAGGGGCTAGTTCAACTCTCTCTCCAACGCTCTACCAAAACCTCTACCACACAATCCAAGTGGAAATGCCATGGCATGGCTATCTCCAAGATTGCAAGTAGAACATTCATAAAGAAGAAGAAAGCCTCAAGCAGCAGCCGAGACAACACGCGAAATGTTCGAAGATCGATGTGGACAATAAGTGCGGGGAAAAACGAATCAAATGCAAGAAATGCTAGGATCTGCACAGTGGATATGACAACTGGTCATGTAAAATGTAAAAAAAAATAAGATGGAATCAACAACTCCGCCTTGTAAGACTCCAGTATCTCTCTATCATCAAACATCATATCACTGGAATCTTTTCTCGATTGTTCGATTTCATACGAACACGAGAACTTCTACGGCTATGAAACCAAACATCGCTAACAATTTGGAAATACATGCTACTAACTATATTTATTTATAGCAACCAAGATTCCCGTGATATAGCTGATTGAAAAAATAATGAAAAGGACCTCTAGTATCCTAGAACGGATTATATAAGAAAAGAATACAAAGTACTTTTGTGAAAAACTAGAAATAGTAATATGAGTGGAACAAAAACCTTTTCCTGGAGAAAACAAACACAACCATTGGCAGCTGTTCGTTAGTACGAAGAAAGTCAATAATATTAATGTAGATGTTCTTGTCATTATTCCCGTGCGGCTTGCTGATAAAGCCACCAGTGTTGGAACCTGAAACAGGTATCTTTCGTTATGATTTTACAGGACACCATTAAACAATAATATATACACCACGACCAATATGAATTGATTCCAACTCATATCCAGCCGAAAGTGATTGATATATTTATCTCTACACAAAAATATCTGAGCTCAAAGGAGCGTGCGGCGCAGTGGTTGGAGGCGCGACACATACGTGGAATCGGTGCCTGCGCCCATGGCCCGCCAAGCCGTCCATCCCTCCGGGGCGGGCGAATTGGTGGGGGTGGAAGACTTGTTTGCGAGGATAACAGCATTGGCTCGATACATCGGTAAGCCACCGCGAGTCATTGTAAAGGCCACATATGCATTCAGTCACCTCCAACGAGTCTTAATGAATGCATGGCCAATACCTCAGGGATTGATCAACGCCAAAAACTTTATCCTTTCTATCCTTTTATCTTAGCTCCACGTTAAACCTATGAACAAATTAATAATCGGTAGAACTTATAGCCTCCTAGAAACAAGATAGCTATCACAAAAAGATGAAATCTTACGCTTTTGGAGCGCATAAAACTTTCTTCGTCGCACGTATATCGGAAAGCGAAACGACTGAACAAAAGAGATTTCGTTCCAGAAAAGAAGAAAACCTCGCCAAAATGCATTGTTGGTATTTTTGGTTCCGCCAAGCTTTCACGCTCACGTTTAAAGCTTTCAAAATCTAAATTCTGCTTCCAATTTTTTCGAAAAATTTAATCCTAAATGATTTTAAAGTTGACGAGAAATCACACACAACTTTGGTGCGACAGAGCAAAACCCAATCTAGGAATGTGTCTAGTTTACAGGTTCTTCGCCATAACATTTACCAGAAACTTATCACCAGTTACCGAAACGCAAGCTTTGGCCATTATTCATAAAAGCAAATAAAGAATAAAACAAAGCGTTTGGCGTTGATCGATCCTTAGAGATGCGTTAAGCACTAGATCTCATCAAGCATCAATTGAGGTGATTAAATGCATAACTACCTTGCACAATGATTTGCAGCGGCCTATCGATGCATCTGTCGACGCCGGAAGGATGGAAGCTTGTTGATCCCACGCGTTCAATTGCACCAAAGATTATATGTATACTGACAAGCAATTCTAACCACTGCGCAACGCGCACCCTTGCATAAAACAAAGGTATACAAAATAAGAGAATTCGAAAACCGGCTAAATAAGGAAGCAGACTGTTTAATAGGTAGTTAGTAATTCAACTCCATAGCAAACATTCAAAATTTGTTGTTTCTAAAAACTCCAGCTAATCGTGCTATTAAACACGACGATAGTAGTCTCTTGCCAAATTAGACCACCTGGGAAATTCAGGAATTACCGTTTGAAGTTAAAAACTTCAAAAATGCAAGCAAAGTTTAAAGCTTCAAGATTTTTGATACAATAGCAATAACCCTAAAAATCAGCGATACAGTTGGAGAGATCGTAACGTTTTTTAGACCAAAAACCGCTTGACCATTTGCTTTGTTTAAGATCAAAAGTTCATCGACGCAAAACAAGCCAATTTGCATCTTATTGGAAACGATCTGCAGATTCCATTGCTTTTTCGAACAATATTTTCGCTTTCATGAGCCGTCACCACATACTGTGCCTCACTTCTTACGTTCTTAGGAATTCTTTCAGTTAGATTTTTCTCTCACATGTCACTCATCAGTAAAGGTGTTCGCGCTTATGCACCAATTGGGCTACTATTTTTGGACTTTGCTTCCGTCATGAATGTCTCGAATGCTGCACAAGTTTACACCTCCTGTAATCAATCCCACGTCGTTACCAAAGCCACTAGTTCTCGTTTACGAATCAGCAGTTATTCCCACGGGACTTTGGTAGGATACCACTGCCCTGGAAAGATGTGCGGAGTGCTTGGTGCAGGGCTAGCCGATCCTTGCGCGTACTGGACGGTATAACATCTACATCGCAATCCGCGATAAACTGGAGATGTTGCATTACTTTCTCGCGTGTATGCACCAAAGCAAATTCATATCATCGTGAATATTTAGTTAAAAAAGCACTAAAAAACCATGAAGGTGCTGCGTACTGCGACCTCTGTGATTTTGACCACCTCGTCCTTTATTACCACTATCATTGTTATCAAATCCTTTAACCTGGCTACCACCTGATTCTCGTCTATTGGCCTGAACAATAGAAAACGTGGAAAATAGGTACGGCAACAAAAGGTTAAGACGCGATCCATCACTAGAAGAACTGCATACCTTCGCCTCTACTGCTTTCTTGTAACCAACATCTAGCCAACTTCCGTTCATATCAACAATTTTGAACATGTCCTTCTTCGTTTTGCCATCTTGTCCAGTGTATAAGTAATGCTCCAAAGGCACTGGACGTTTCAACGTAGAAACGACGTTAATTTTTCGGTTCTTGATTCGTCTGCAAAGGAAGGCGGCAGTCCAGTTTTAAAAAAATCACAGTTTTAGAACGTACCCGACCCAATCAGCAAATTCCATACAGTTCGGAACAGTAGCCGACAACATTACGATTTTTACATGAGAAGGAAGCATAATCAACACCTAAACATACATTTATTCCACAAGAGCAACTTTAACAAGACATAACTAGGGTTCCCCGACTCACCTCCTCCCAAACGTGCCCCCTCTCAGCATTGTTGATATAATGCACTTCGTCGAATACTACCCACTCCAAATCTCGTACCGCTTCCGAGCCATTATAAAGCATCGATCTGAAGCAGTGACATAAACAAAATGATGCAGAAATTTCAAGAACCTTTGTAGCCGTTACCTTAAAATCTCGGTTGTCATGATAAGACAGAAGGCTTCCGGAAACAACTGAATATCGCCGGTAACAAGGCCGACCTCAGTGAATATCATTTTGAAGTCACGAAACTTTTGATTCGACAACGCTTTTATAGGAGACGTGTATATTGCACTAAACGTAGTTTGCACGTTTAATTTCAAATGCCTCGTCACTCCTCTAAACGTTAGCTTTTATGCAAACCGTAATCGATTTTGGCGCAGATAATCCAACGCGAAAGAGATTATTGCTTCATCCTCCCGAAATTGTTTATTTAATCAATAAAGAGATCAACAGGGATGACGTACCATCAAAAGACTTGTCACTTGTCAGGAAATAGTGTCGGCTTTAGATTGAAATTGCAAACAAACCGTGTTCTGTGCTTTTCGCACAGCGCTACAGCATACTCTGCCACAACAGTTTTTCCAGCTGATGTATGGGCAGCTACGAAGACAGATTCACCTCTTTCCATATAGACTACTGCTGCCTTTTGAAACAGATCAAGCTCGAATGGATACTAAACAAGCAGAATTTTAAGACACTTGACCCACTACACGTTTTTTCCCTTAACATCCCTATAATGAATAACTTCACTTGAAATAAAGTGTTCCTATCTCAATCTTAACCCTTTTATTTATTGCCTTTTTCTTTTTAATGACAGGGTATGCTGCAAAATATAACTCGTATATAATGCTGAGATATTTGCAAAATTCCGAACCGCAGGTGTACGCGGTGGGGAACGAACGCGCGCTATTGTCCTCACCGCGGAGCAGCGCACTTCACCACCAATGCATACGCGTCCGGATGGTGTGGTGGTGAAGTGCGCTACTCCCCGGTAAGGAAAATAGCGCGCGTTCGTTCCCCACCGCATACACTTGTGTTCCTATCTTGTTCGACATGACAAGGAATCACTGCCACATGGTCGAAAAATCTTACTTGGATGGCCCATCCTCACTATGTGTGGGTCCCAGCATAATCTCCATCTTTTAGAGTTTGGCTGGCTTAGCCATTGTAGTTCTCTAGAGTCCCGAGGTCAGCCTGGGCAGTCTGCCTCAGGTCGTCACCACCACAGGCAGTCGCGGCCCTACTGGATCAAAGGGAAATTTGCCACCTTGCGACTAGTTTGGCACCAGAATGGTGACACATCCTGGTTTGGGTTTACTTTTATCTAGGCTTCCTGATGGAAACACCGGACTCCTTCTCAGCTTGGGAGACCCTGCCATGGCGATGAATCCCCAGCCGTACGTCGCAAGGAACACCTCGCAGCCACGATGATGCGGCAAACTGTTGCGAGGGTCGAAAAAACACTGACACTATATACAACCACCCGGGCATAGTAAAGACATAAAGATGCTAAGTGAAACCATACATATCGACATAAATCGAACTCTAAGACAATATCTTCCAGTGAAAATAAAATTTTAAAAGCCGACGTTTCGGCGGATTTCGCCTTCGTCAGAGCCTGGAAAGGTCAACTTGACTGCAATGTACACGACCAAACACCTCCATAACCAAGCAGACAGAATGCTGAACAAAAATTTCAATCACATTGAACACAGAGCCTTTGCACACTCACCGTTTTCTATGAGTCTTCCACTAAATATGTCACGTGGAGACCAACCGCACAGTGTTCACATGGAATCGTAATGTGCCCATCTTATCACAGTAACAGACTCAACTCTCCCTCTCTCTCCCTCTCGAGGCGTTCTGGATTAAATGCAAAAATCCGAAAATGAACTGCAGGGAGGAATGCCTCATTATCACGCGTGATATTGGGCAGTATATAAGCCTGTTATTTTGATGAGATGGGCACAATACGATTCCATGTGAACACTGTGCGGTTGGTCTCCACGTGACATATTTAGTGGAAGGCTCATAGAAAGTGGTGAGTGTGCAAAGACTCTGTGTTCAATGTGATTGAAATTTTGGTTCAGCATTTTCTCTGTTTGGTTATGCAGGTGTTTGGCCGTGTAGGTTGCAGTCAACTTGATGTTTACAGGCTCTGAGGAAGGCGAAATCCGCCGAAACATCAGCTCGTACGTAAATAAAGAAATAAAATAACACCTCGTGTTCGCTAAAAAGAAGTGGAAAGAATTATTCAATCAATGCTGAGGTTAATAGAAAGTCGGACGTAGGAGTTAAAACAGTAAAATCGCTAGTTCAATCACTGCTATTTAACATATATGGTGTTGGTTCCCCGATAATTTCCAATAACTGAATACTTGAGGAGTCAAGAGCTCAATAATTAATATTATAAATAATTTTCCTAAGATATCAGTCCAAATTTGAGCTCTTTTATGAGTCGAATTTTCCAAAAACTGAAAACAAGACTTAAGTTTAACATTTTTTCAAAGCAGTGCCACTCTACTAAGAAACTAGTGATCGATTTAGAGAGTTAATCGCGACCTGTTAAACGAGATTCCTTTACTCCGTTCGCTTCCTAAAATAGCACCTCAACAAAAAAAGCCGTAGAAATTTCTATCTATTCCAAAAACAGAATTTAACAATTTCTGACCATGAGTAGTCCTAACTTGCTGTCAAAGATGTGTAAACCTGAATAGTTTTTATTGCATTTAATAAACTTCTCTGTAAGCAAAGAGATGATCGTTTAAGGTTGAAACGCTGAATTATTTTTGGGTAGGTGCACAATTAAATCAATATGCATTCAGCTACCTGCTAACCACATGAAAAAGACAAATGGCAATGGATGTGACGGTACATTTCAGTACAGTACATCAACGGTTTGAATTCTAACGACTTATTCCTTTGATTTCGCAAATAAAATTACCAATGGAGCCTAGTAATCATCAATAGAACACCACCTATTATAGGAATATACAGTGCACTCAATCGATTACTTAATCCGTAAAAGTATAAAAGGATAAAGCTCTTGGCGTTGATAAATCTCTGAGGGATGCACCATGCACTCGACTTCAATAAGCACCGTTGGAGGTAACTGAATGCCTATCTGGCTTTTACAATGACTCACAGGGCCTACCAATGTATCGAGCCAGTGCTGCTATCCTCGCAGAGAAGTCTTGCGCCAATTTGCCAACCCCGGAGTGATGAAAGCTTTGTGAGACACAGGGGCGTGGTATCAACCACATGTGTGTGTTGCAAGGCGCCTCCAACCACTGCACCACACGCACCACTCACTTCATAGACCGTGTGATAGCTTAATTCACCAAGTGTTTTCCAACTAATCCACCAGTTAAATATGCATTGATCGCATTATTCTCAAAACCCAGATAGCAGCGTCTATACTTAGTTTGTAAACACGAAATCTAGCTTCATAAGAAACCATGCAACCAAATAATATACCGGTCTTATACATCAAAGTTAAGAAAAGCACTACCTTCTTGGCCATATTTGGCAGTAGCGAGTTGTATTCCTCACAGCACGACACGTGGTCCGATTGCTTTGCATAGGCATAACGTTCAGGAGGAGTGAAAGTAATTGCTGGCTTGGATAGTGGTGTTTCGAGAGCCTCCTTCAACAACAAGAATTCAAAAGAATTCTGAACAATACCGACACAACGACAACGAAACAGTAAAGAAGCGCTAGTTACTCTTCTAACTACCTGCTCTTCGCACCTGTATATCCAACACAGTTGAATTCTCGATTTCATTCGATTCTATATATTTACCACCGCTCATTTCCTCATTGCCAGAGTCTTTCCTGTTTGAAACTGGACTTCCAGGTTCCACCAATGGAACAGCTAAAGAGGGATAAGTGAATGAATAGCATATTATTCATAACACATCAAAATTTACCTCCGCCAATGAAATCCATCAAGTCGAAGAGATCAGTTGAGTCAAAATCGATGCTTCCATTGGATAATTCTATGCTTTTACCAGTATTATTTTTGTCAAGAAGAGGTGCAGGTTCAACGAAATTGACACCTCCTGGCATTCCCGGGGCACATGTCAACAGATCTGAACTAAATGCTAGGTTACCATTGACAAAAAGGAAAAATTACACGGACCAGTATGTCGAAAAAACACGTTCTCATCGCAAATTTCGGTTTCCTCATTTCTTGTAAGTAACATGACATTTCCAAGTGCATTATCAAAACCACCTAAAATGGAAAAAGATCAATGTATTGTCAAATTTCTAGTAATGCTCAATACCTGGATAGAACGGCACATTGTTGGATGACCCCCTTATACTCCTTACGTCATTTGCAGGTGACCTTAAGCGTGAATTACATTTTTCGAAAAGTATTCCGAGAAAAATTGACCGACAAACCTATTCAATGACATAGAAATTGATGAGTCTCCAAATTCACTTGCATCTCTTATACATTCAATAACGTCCGTAACTTTTCCATAAGGATCTATTAGAGGGCAAAGCAATGTGGCAGGCTCACTAGGTCGTAGAAGATCCTTCAGAAGTGAAAGCGGATTCACGGTAACCTTTGCAGGATCCAAGCTACAAACAGTAACCCTCAATATTCATTTCAGAATTACTTAGAAGTCGTGAAGGAACCCACTCATATGTATCAGTCACCGAATAAGTCCCAGCAGTAGCAGTCAACGATTCGACACAAACCGAGCGGAGGATACGATCAGCGACATCCCTTAGTTGGTCAGAGTTCATTTGTGCTCGCCACACTTCACAGCTTTCGAATATTAGGTAAATACTCCTAAATAAAAAAGCTCTACAAGATAATACCAGAAAATGACCGTTCTTACATGAAGGTTAAATGAACATAAAGTCGCAAGAAATTGTGGAAGGACAAAACCTAAAAAGAAAATGGATGAGTTGACAATGTTACAAAAACACAGTGGAGAGTTGAATTAATACGTATATTTATACAACCTCATGGGCCCATGTGGCGCAGTGGTCGGAGGCGCCCTGCTATACACATGGGATCGATTTCCGCGTCCCAGGCTCACCAAGCCTTCCATGACCACCGCCCGAGAGTTTTATCATTTATCCTTATTACAACCTCGCATGATTTCTCTGCCACTTTTACAGACTAGCCGACTAAGAGCTCATCCTTAATACAACCAATACAACCTCACAAGATTTGCCTGTCAATTCTCTTAGCGACTAGTCCACTGAGAGCAATTGTGACACAGTGGCTAACACATGGCCTTCTATAAAACCTTTGTATATAAACAGACGAACGTCGCAAGCAAGTATTTGTATGTGATCCAACAAACATTCCAACGTTTAATTACTTACTAACCATAAATATACTACACGGGAAAAACAAAAGTATCACCACTCCCAACCTAAGACCTCAACGGACAATCAGTCAACTAATTCCGCTTTGTAAACTATATTATTAAAGAAAAGAAGATTGATCAAACGAATAATGAGATATTCTCATTTTTCACGGTAGGGTGCTTGCTCCACACAATAGCCTATCGTAAAAAATAATAGGCAGTAGATAAAAGGTTAAACATTGTAACTAAACATATTACACGACAAGATTACACCAACGGATATTCGAATATTTTCTTCGCTACTTAGATGATCTGTCTTGACATGTCAACAGTTCTTTCAATTGCTTCATTATCTTGCAACGATCATGCACAACGGATGGATTTGTGTGTATACTTGTATATACGTGTTGTGTGTGTTTACTTGTATATATGTGTTGTGTGTGCATACTTTTGTGTTGTGTGTGTATATGTGTATGTGTATGTGTATGTGCATATGTATATGTATGTGTGTGTACGTGTGAATGTATGTGCGGTCCGGTTACCACTTGGGAATATGCCATCTTCCATCCTCATTAAAAAGGTTTATTGCTAGAAAAGTGTGACTTCATAGTATTCGAAGGTATACTAACACAGCTAAGTTCTCATGAACGCGATTCAGTAGCCACTCCATTGACAGATCTGAACCATTCGGCTATCGACCGATGTTTTTAGGATGGCGTAATCAGGCGAATCAGCTAATGGTGACGATAGAATTTCCTCAGTAATAGCCTGACAACTCAAAAGTCTCGCAAAAGCACGGCTATGAGGAAGGGGAAATCCCCGAAACGTCAGCCATCAAACAACAAAAACTACAACGATAATTTGTACTAACTCCGCATTAACTCAACAAGGGCAGTTTGTAAGAACATACAAATGACTAGCCTGACACTTATCACAATAATGAGTTCAGACCAAGGTTGCAACGGCCCGTGCAGTGGGCAACACGGAACCCACAGAAGGGTAACCGCCGGTTCGAATTTCGCCCTCGGTCCAAGTTTTGCAAATATCTCAGCATCATAGTTGTTGTATATCATAATGACATTTCCTTTTTCACAGAACTTCTGCGGTTACGAATGCATACGATTAACATGAGCTACAAATACATCCGTCCAGGTTGCTGATCGTTATCCCAGATCACGCTTAAAACTTATAGTCCACCATAGCGCTCTTCTGTAGTGCAGCATGACTTGATACTGGTATGTGTTTGTCTGTGTGTGTTGTTCACTGTCTTATCTCTTACTGAACTCGAGTACAGGATCAGCCATTTTAGCATCCACGATGTCTGTAAAGTAATGACTTCTACAACCTCACGATGGAGATACATTACGGTCAATACTAAGGTTCATTTCAATGTAGGACATAACCAACCTAACAAATATAACTACTAACCACAGACATCTGCAGTCTGGAGTTCTGTAAATATCTCAGCATCACTGTAGTCGTATCTCACATCATACTAAGCCATGAAAAAGGACAGGAAGTCGGTAATAAGGCAAGATAAATAAAAAAAACATCATGACAAATATATTTCGAAAACTGACTTTGACCTATGCACAAATAATCAATAACATTTTCATGGACGAAAAAGCTAACACGAGGTTGAAAACGAAAACGTCGAAAGATTACCGGAATAAAGCTTCTTTTAAAATCAACCTCGCTCTAATTTAATCATCCAAGAAAATAGCAATTACAATAACTACAGCCTCTATACTTCCTAACGGTTTACCGCCTCATCGTGGGTGAAAGGTGTTCCTTAGTGTCGGGCTTCATGTACAGCGGGGATTCATTTCTCTTGAAGAGTTTCCCAAGCTGAGAAGGAGTCCGGTGTTTCCATCAAGAAGCCCAGCTATGAGTAAACCCAGTAGCAGGATCCACCATCGCCTGGTATAGTCGCATTATGGCAAACCTCCCTCTGATCCACAAGGGCGGCGACCGACGACTCCACGTGGTGGTGGCGACCTGGGGCAGACTTTTGCCACGCTGACCTCGGGACTCCAATGAACCACAATGGCTAAACCAGCAAGACTCCGAAAAATGGAGATTATGCTGAGGCCAGCAGAACCAGTGAGGTCGGACCATCCAAGTATCCAAGTAAGTACAGCCACTATAACGATAACAGTTCGTTACCTTTGCTCAACGAAGAGAGCAAAATATACACTACCTTACCATTTCTGCACTTAAATGCGATAAAGGTCTACGATCACCAACTTTTTACAATATAGTTTAAGGGAGGCTCCAGAAGCTCTGTCGATAATTCCAAGCAAACCATTTAAAAAGTTAAGAGAAAAAAACCACACTTCAAGCTATCCAAAAGTTCTGCATACACACAGTCAATGTCATGAACACTGGATCCAGTACAGCCGATTGCACAGACCTCCTCTAAATAACAGTAGCTCCGGCACAGCTCCTATAAGTACTATCGAAGACTTTTGCTGCAAAAAAAGTATGATTAGAGTAATGCCCAGCTAGGAGGGTTTGAATAAAGTACGGATGGAGTAATAGTAAATACTACAGCACAATACAACGCCCATATCCTTTACAAAACTAATGATAGACCGATGAAACCAATACTCCGATAAATTTGAAGGCGTACCATAAACTTACCAAAGATATTCTTTACGAAGGAATCTCTTGCTGGTAAGTCGCGAGGCAAGATGGCGAGTCTCAGGTTGCGGATACGGTTAATCGCTGACCAAAAGCGACCTTATAATAAACCTCGATAGAACGATCCTATGTTAAACCTCGATAGAGCACTTGATCATGCATGCAAGAAGGGAAAAGAACGACGTCATCGCATTGGCTGAAGCGAGAAGACGCCACCCATTCGACGCCTTCTGTGAAATCGGAGAACTGTTCCTCGGAAAATGCGACAATAGAGGAGTCGGCGGCGTCGGCGTTCTCGTCAACACGACTTTGGCCCGAACATCAATTCATTCAACAGCTAACAACCAGATTCTGATGTTTCCGGTTGAAGAGATATGGATCAACACCGACGTTGACAATATTCGTCCTCTATGCACCGACAACAAGCTATGACAAAGACGAAATCGGAGCGTTCTGTACTTCCAGTTTATGAAGAAGACAACACATTCTTTAACGCCATGTTGGTGAATTTAACACTAAGATTGGACCCAGAAGAACGTTACATTAGGAACCATGGATTAGAATGGAACGAACAGGGTGAACGTCTCTCTGAGTTTATCATGACGACAAAGACCATGCATGGTAATTCGCTATTCCAGAAGCAGCACCCTCAATGCTGGACGTCGGAGTCTCCCAATGGAGATTACGATAACGAAATAGACCACAACATAATAAATAGGTTTTGCCTAACCGATGTCGCCGTTGTCCCAAAATTCTACACGGAATCAGACCACCGTCTCCTTCGTGCAAGATTCTATTTTTAGCGGAAAGGAGAGAACGCCGCTAAATTCAAAAACTGAAATCCCAGAACCACCACAAACTGGGACTTATTCAATTCATTACTCGGCTGTTGGGAAGATGCCGTTGTCGATAACATCGACGAGGAATACGATCGGCTCATTCAACATCTTCACGTTAGCGCTATGAAAGCACAGAGTTCGAAAGTCACCAAGAGACGTGTGGCTCCAAAAACACTCGAGCTGATACGCCAGCGTGGAATCACACGAGCTGCAGGTAACCGCGAACTAACGTCCGATCTTGCAAAACAATGCAGACAGGCGATAAAAGAAGACCTTAAAGAAAGAAGAACAGCAGTAATGGTCGAAGCTGCAAAAGCTGGGAAAAGCATTGGCAAAGGCACCGAAGCTTCGGCAATTACAAGACGAAAATGATTGCACTCCGGCGTTCAAAGGGAACAGTTACAGCGTCTACAAATGCAATGGAAAAAACTATTCATGATTACTATTCAAATCTCCTCAGTCGCCACTACCTCCTGCCATCACACGAAATAAGGAGGATTCCGAAATCTGATATGTTATTTCGTCCGTTAGGAATGGAAGACCACCATGTCCGAATAGGATAAGGTCTCAACACTTGGAGAACCTTCCATTAGTCTTCATCAACACACTGGCTCCGCTGTTCACATGTTACTTGCCAGAATGCAAAGTTCCAAGTCAATGGAAGAGCGGCAAGACAGTCCTTTTCTTGAAGAAGAATGACCTTCACGATATCGGTCGGCGACTATCACCCAATCTGTTAACTGTTTGTCGGCTACAAACTTCAAAAGGCAAAATTCTTCTGGAAATGCTAAAACTCAAAGTCAAAAATAAATGGTCGAAGAACGAATAAATTAGATAAATAATCGAGGCTTCCAATTTTGAATTTTATTACGTTACCAACCACAAAAATCATCAAGCAAAAAAACAAAGAACAAAGAGAATGCAAGCAATGAAATCAGCAAAAAGAACTTTGGATTAGTTCGTTCTTTAGAAGATCTTTCACCGTCCATTTAAGTAAGCAACATAAAATATCAAAGTAACAACAATATGGGGTATTTTAAATATCTGATAAAAGCCACAGACGAAAAAGCAACGACGAAGAAACATACATCTTGTTGGAAACATTAAAACATATCACCTAACAGGAAGTTCAGGACTCGATCGACCATATAACAAGCAAAAAGATCGAAAGAAACGCAGTACACCAGGACATTTCGAAGCTGAAATGGGAAGACATTCCACGACATTCATGAATTCAGCGTTGGGAAGTGTAGTACTCGCTCAAAACTACGAACCTCTGAGGGAAGTGCTACCAGTTCAAACTGGTGCATCACTTCTTCTGAGGCACCTAAAGCTAGCATGAAAACTGAAGAACCCGAAATCAATAGACTGTAGAGCATTGCTTTGTTCTCCAGCAAAGACTCCATAAATGGACGACCCTGAAAAAGTACTCGAATTCAACTATAAACAAGTTGGACAACGCTTTATTCGTACGCATACCCTGTAATTTACGGCGAAAGTGCAGATTTGTAACGCCATGGAGATGATATAAACGCACGTATTCAAAACATTTGGAGTAAATTTCGATTCCAAATTCACCTCTTCCGCCCTACAAATCGCAAAACTTACCGTTCATATAGAAATTTGACAGTTTTATTTGAAAATCTTTACGTATTAAATCCAAGTACTTTATTAAGTAGGGCGTGTGTGACGCAGTGGTCGGAGGCGTCCTGCAATACACATGGGTTCGATTCCCGCGTCTGTGGCCTACTAAGCCTTCCATCCCTCCAGAGTTGGCAGATTGGTACGGGAGTTATCTGGCAGGACAGCAGCACTGGCTCTGTAGGCCACCGCGAGTCATTGTTAAGGCCAAACATGCATTCAATCGCCTCCAAACGATGCTTATTGAAGTTGAATGCATAGAACATCTTTAAGGGATTGATCAACGCCGAAAGCTTTATCCTTCTGTAAAAACAACTCACCTTGGGGATACTTCATGAGCACTTTTTACTACATATAATAAACAACCAAAATGTATGATAAATTGTCCGGCAACGGTAAAAAGTGTGTACGCATTGAAGATGTTCGACATCGGACGTTGCTTAGATAGCGTTTTTAAAGGCTGTAACATGTCATAATTGTAAAATATAAGAGCGTATTACAAAAAGAACAAGACAAATACCTTAGAACGAGAAACAAACAAAAAACAAGCAGCAAGAAGTAGTCCTTGAATGGTGGCCTGGGTGTCACTAAACTTGACTCCATCCATGTACAGCGCTGATAACGAATAAGCAGAAATGAGAGCATTAAGTGCAAGGATTTTAAACATCTGCAACGTCGTCACTAAAGTGCAACGCCCTTGCTTGATAACATGACATACTGAAAATCACAATATATTGACATCATAAGCAAAATTGTACAGCAAAAGATAACGTAATAAACTTAATTGATGCTATGCTGGTGTACTTGGACGTGAACGGAGCAGCGATGGATGCGTCTCCAAGTCTTGTAACAGACGTTCTTTCTTCCTCATCAAGTTCCTTCATAAGCTTTTCCAACTTACTTTGTACGTTTATCGATGGTTGTTGTGTGCCTCTAAAAACCGAATAATTTCAGGAAAACTGCTGAAGAATTTCAATCGCTTAAATATTAGAATCAATGGAAAAATAGCACCACATCTAAACCCGACCAGGAGAAATAGGATAAACCCGGCGTTTACTTCCTCCGTGTAGAATATTGTAACTCGGAGAAGATATCAAAAAATATTTTAGCAAAAATTTACGGTTCAAAATACGTCAAATGTACCTCGGCCGTGCTCCAATTGGTACTTCGCCACGACGACTCACGAAATTTGGCAATCCTGAGGGAAAATTGCCATCTCTATGAGTGAGTCGACGAGCCTCCTCAGTTTTCTCTTTTTCTTTTTGCTCAGTCTTTGTAGCATCGTATGGGTGCGACAACAAGGCAACACCTAAACATCTTCATTACTTCTCTAATAGAACTCTTTCATCGCTCCATTTCTTGGCTTAGGTCATTCATTTATCTATTTCTTCACGTACCTTTTGACTTTATTTTTCAGCATATACTTGCAGAGTGCCTACTACAACCAACGATGGCTTCCCCTTTCAAGCCAAGTATATTTATTACGCAGTTATTTGATCTCTTCTGTACTTAAATAACGAGTAGCCGTCAATTCATTCATAAGAATTTGTACAAATAGAGTCTGGAAAAAAGTAACACAAATTCCTTCCTTTGGAATTTCAGTTACGTTCCAAAACACAGTGTGCGACCAGATCAACATCTATGTAGTGGCTGATTTCTTCAATGAAACTGGAAACCATGAACTGGGCACACCTCATAGAACCAGCAAGACAATACATTGCCAAGTAGAACGGACAAGTATGTCTTTATGGAGCACAGCGATGCATTATTACAAATCCTATGCCTGATATTTGAAGATGTTTGGAAAACAACATGTTCCAGTTTTCGATGAAGCTTTCGAAATCCGTCGCTATCGTTGAAGCGGAACAGCGATTTGTCGAGTTATCACTTCATGAGCATTGCATTAGCATTTAGTAACACCACAGTATTAATATCATAGCAAATATTTTCATTTCTATGCATTTCCATGCACGCAAGAAATAAATGCGGTTCTTTAATGAATACAGCTTGATTGCTTGAAGTAAGAACCACTGGAACAACTTATTTTTGTCAACACGATAAAACCTCACATATTGCAGCAGCATAGAGACTTCTGAATTTCGAAATCGATGAATCCTTCAGAAATTTTTCGTTTTCCTTTTTGTCAAAACGTTTCCTTCAGAAGTAGGCGAGGTGCTTGAAAAAGTGAGAGTCAGATGGCGAGATGGCCGTGGACTATGGTGGGTGGGACAGGACTTCGTAGCCTAACCCGTTTAATCTCTCCGATGTAACTTGTGCAACGTGCTGTCAAACGTTGTCATTCTAAAACGACCGCACCGTTTCCAATTACCAAGGTTTGGTAGATGTGCAGCAGCTTTCGCTGGATTTAACCGTTTTCATGATGGTAGTTCCCTGCTCAGTTGGTTTTGCCAATATTTAGTAACCTCCAGTAAATTAACTCAGCTGGTGACCATCATCCAGCCACAATAAACTTCTATGAACGCAAATTTGGCTTTGGAAGACGTCTAGGAGCTTCGTCTTCTTTCAACCAATGTATGGTGACATCGTCGATTGTCGTGTACCGTCTACTTTTCATCGCGCACAATCAAGATATGGATCATCTTTGTAAACTAATCGAATAGTAAATTTCAGAACGGCGATCTCGTTGCTCGGAATAATACTCGCACCGATGAAAAAACGACTGAAGCAGAACACCACCGCGAAAGAACGTGATGGGTGAATGAAGCGCATACAAATTATACTACTTGTACGACGCGTGATGATGGCCGATAATAATTGTCTAAGCAAGTAATAATAAAGAGTGTCGACTAAATAAACGGTTGCGGCATAATCCTGAGAGGTATTTAAGTTTTACTATTTCATACTTTACTGTGGTCAATTACCAACAGAGGTGTATTGACTGCAATGCATAGGAAATAAAAGTAGCGATCACCCTCAACCTTAGACCAACGCATCTCATACTGAATTTTATTAATTGATATAGAAACCGTTAAAATCAATAGATTTCTGGTAGGAAAATACATGCCTTCTCATTCTACAAAAAAAGAATCATGATTCCTTAGATCTCACAGTATCGAAATTTTCGTATTTGAAGAGTCGTATTTTGAAGATCGAAGCGATTGAACAAGTGGGATTTCCTCTAGTGGGACAAATGTTGTTTCCCAATGCATTTCCCTAACTTGATTGATATTTATGGGTGTCCCGCATATGTCAGAAAGTTTTTAAAAAAATTTATGTCCATTCTCTATTAGTTGAAAATTCAAACTCAAAATACATTTAAGACTGGAAAAGTATTTCATAAAAACTATAGACATATTTGCAGCGATAGAGAAAAGTCCCACTTCAAAGTCTAAGAAGCCCTTACTTCCTCAACTATTGTAGTGGTCGAGAAATTACCGTACGCTTTTGAAAAACTAGCAGTTTGCATTGACTCGTACATCTATATTGATAACCCTCTACGCAAACATATAGCTCTTCTGCTTAAATTGCGCTATTAAGAAGGGATAAAACAAGTATAAGTAGATCAATTCTTCTGGTTTCTCAGAGATGTTCAAGAAACGTGATGAATACAATGTTGCACTTTATTGCTCTCTATAACGGAGACCTTGCTTATCAAACAGGTGACTTCTGCGTTCATTACCACTACGTCTCTTTCTCTTTTACAACTCAGTCTTCATGAGGAAAAAGTAAATGTATCCTATAAATCAAAGTTGGTGAGTATCCTACTTACTAACTGTACAACAAAGACAACAAATCGATACACTAACCAACGTTGGAATGTTTGAGAGCACCGACATCATTAGTTCCATCTCCACACATGAGGGTTATACATCCAAGAGATTTGTATTCATTTATAATACGTTCCTAAAAAAGAAGGAAATGAGCTAAATAAAAATGAGGCTAAAACATTGGCTAGAATAAACAAATGTATAACAGAGAAGACACGAAAAGACTTCGAAATAACTTTTAAAAAAAGCTCTGTAACTCTTCAAAATTAATCTTACATAGTTGAATACTTGAACAGTTGAATGGCCCATTCTCACTTGTTGTGCGGATCCCAGCATAATCTCCATTATTCGGAGATTTGCTGGTTAAGCCATTGTGGTTCCCCGGAATCCCGAGATCAGTCTGGCCAAAGTCTGCCACAGGTCTTCACCACCACAGGCAGTCGCAGACCTTATGGATCGGAGGAAGATTTGCCACCATGCGACTTCGATACCAAGACAGTGGTGGATCCTGTTATTGGTTTACTCTTAGCTAGGCTTCCTGATGGAAACGCCGGACTCCGTTTCAGCTTGGGAGACCCTACCAGAGGATGAATCCCCCGCTGTACATCTCAGTTCGACATTCACGAACGACATTCTCAGCTACGATGAGGCGGTAGACTGTTGGGAGGAGTCCTACATAAAATACATCGAAATTTCATAAGAACAAAGTATAACGAAGAATAAAGGGCTTCCTACATTACTTAATTGCCCAGATACATAACTATTAGCTAAGAGGTAAATTAGCAAAAGTCTCTAACATGGAACACATTTTCCTTCATCCGTTGTAAAATAGATATAATCGGTTAGCGCTAAAATAGTGGCAGGTTTCATCACCACGAAATTTACATTTGTAGTGGAAAAAACACTACATCTTCTCTATACTGTTGTTGTACAACGTGTGTACAACATGTTTTTGCTCAATAATTTGCCATTAACAACTCAAAAACCGTCTGTTTTTTGCACGATATCGGAATGTTGAAGAACTCGACACATGAATGCCGTATGGATAGAACGAATGGCAGCGACATTGCCATTCGGAAATTATCTCCCTCATTATTTTACCCAAAAAAATGACTTAAATCTTGGTGAGCAGGTCACAGAGAGTGCTCCTACGAAAGCGATAACCACCACAAGAACTGAACGGTACATCCAAACTCAGACGATAACACTTGAGCTGTTCTACTCCTCACCCGCTACACTCATCGACGTCTCTCTATGGAATCTAACAATTCTATTTTTTTCAATAATATCGACGATTATTATTTGAGGAATTGCTAAACAACCAAAGCGCCAGAAAAATTACCCTTAACAATTTCTGGGATCCAGCATTCTAATGTACTGAGACAAGAAACACTGCAGTGTGAAACTTCAGTATTCATGTATTCTTTTAACTTCTTATTTTTACTATTAACGCTGTGGCTGAAGCTGCTAGTGCAGTGGTGGTGATGCTGTACATTTAGATCACGGTGCTACTTCGACCCTTTTCCCGACTCACCAAGTCCCCCATTAGTCCAGGGTTGGAAAATTGGCACCACACATATCTGCGACTAGTCCACTTATTCCAATCTTCCTGAGGACGCCATGGCACATCTAACGATTCTGAAGAGAGTCGACTTGGCCAGTATTCAACGACATTCATAACGAAGACGAGAATATTCAAGCAGTAGCGGCACCTACAAGTGGCCGATAGATGGAAGGAAACGAACCCAATGCTGAGATCTAGCGAGTGCAAAGATCGGCACAGTATATGTGAAGAAGGTTAAAAAATGTTAATGTTGTTATGTTAAAATGTTAAAAAACAATGTGTTTGAACGTAGTCATAGTATTCCAAACTTGACGACCAGAACAACAATAACTTCTACACTGAAATGACACTACTACTATAATATGCTAATAATGGTATAAATAAAAATCATTTAATGAATACTATAAATAAAATAGTCTAATTATAAATGGTAAATCACTATAAAAATAATACGCGTTAATAAAATACCTTCTGCTTAGGAGCCATTCTGGCAAATACTCGCACATGCATTAGGAGATCACGCAAGAATTCGTGCTTATTTTCGATCAGATTCGAGAAAGCCTGGAAGCAGGAGCATATATAATCTTAAGAAAGAAGAAGTAAGAATCTCTCACCGGCCCAGTGAGACAGAATTCGTTTTCCATGAAAAACTTCTTTAACTGCTGCTTATTTGTGAATGGAACAACATCAAATTCAACTGATTCGTCCACAGCCTAAAGGATGTGCAACTGGAACAATAACAAACGGGTGATGAAGCTAAAAGCCCCAAATTCCGTTATATACAATGGGTAGCCAATAGAAGCCATAGAAATTAGCGAGTAACCTTCCATTTCCATGTTGCAGATTTTTCTAGTGGCTCGTCTAAAATCAATGTTGGCACTTTGTTCTTCACGAATTTCAGCACTTTTGCCACGTTGCAAGCTGTTAACGCATTATCACCAGTTATCATTGCGACCTAAAATCTTCGAAATAGTGATGAACATCTATTAAACATTTAAGTATATAAATTATGAAACTCCGGACCACAGGTGTCTACGGTGAGAAGCGAACTCACTATTACTCTTAAAGGGAACTAACGCGTTCACCGCCACACCATGCCGTCCAAGTATCCAAGTAAGCAATTATGGAACACTTGTAAGAACGGACCTTGTGAGAACTGTCGACAATTTCTTTAATCATCGCCTTTGTGTCAGACTTTAGAGGGCATGAAATCACAACAAATCCGGCAAACCGTAGATTACTTTCCAGTACTTCGCGTGTGACTTCGCGGATCTAAAAACAATCTAAAAATCTTGACACATAAACGGTCGTAAACAGAGCAGAAAGAAGCATTTACTTGTTATCCTCACCTCGCTCACTCTTGTTTGCGTTAGAGTCTTAATTCCCATTGCTAGTACTCGAGCACCTTGTCGTGTGAGATTTGTGAAAACTTCGTCGTAGTCTTCGGAGATAACTTCATACTGAAATTAAACGATCGCTTTGAAAAGCAGAACAAATCTTTAAAAAACAAAGAAAGACAACCATCGGTCGGAGTGTTTCCGGAGCACCCTTCACTGCTACGATCAATTTAGGTTCCTGAGATCCCGGGATCTGATATCCAGCAACTACGGTCATCCTCTTCATTGCAGATGAAAAATGGTAACGGTGAAAGATTTTCAAACCAGGCTGCTTTGACCCCTTTGGTGGCAGAACCGACTCACCTACAGAACTACATAGCATCATACATCACATTATAAATCACCAATGGTAAAATCAATTATACTTGATGTATCATGATGTGACCTTTAGTGAGCGACCAATCGCTCCACGCTAAGCATGCCTTTTCGAGGGGATCTCCTACTAGATCATCATCAAAACGGACCAGGCTATGGCAACACGCAAGAACCTGAAAACAGCTCTCTTGAACCAAATCAGCAGTTCTACCGGTATCAAGACAGAGTGATTTTAAACTAAATTCTAGGGCTATCTATTAGGCAATACAACTATCTTCCCAGTTTTCTGGTTAAGCCAATTTCAGAACATATGCCCTTTATATTTTCCATGAAATTTCTACAAAACCTCATCGTTCGAACGCTTCCCTATAGTTGGAGTAACAAATCAAAACATCTCCCAAGTATTCTTAGAGACCGTTAATAGCAACAATATTCGTGACGTATAACAATGGCGGCCATCCAGTTCGCCCTTACGCCTTTTTCTCAGCACCCATTTTCAGAAGTCGAAATGTAGTAATGTAACCAATTATAAACATTCATCTCAAGCAAATAAAAGATACAGGTACTAAAAACACATCAATACATTAATAAAGGTTGGACCGATTTATGCGTAACAAGACGTTTTCGCTTCCCAACGGTTTACCGCCTCATTGTGGCTGGGAGGCGTTCCTGGGTGTCGGCCTACAACGTACAGCGGGAGGATTCATCCTCCAGGCGATGTCTCCCAAGCTGTGGAGTCTGACGCTTCCACCAGAAAGCCCAGTTATGAGTAAACCAATATCAAGATGCCAAATACCAAAAACAGTAGCAAGATCCACCACCGACCTAGTATCAAACCGGTCGCATTGTGCCAAATCTCCCTTTGATCCACAATGGCGGCGACTCCACGTGGTGGGTGACGACCTGGGACAGACTTTTCCCATGCTGACCCCGAGACTCTAATGAACCACAATGGCTAAACCAGCAAGACTCCGAAAAATGGAGATTATGCTGGGGCCAGCACAACCAGTCAGGAGAAGCCATCCAAGTATCCAAGTAAGTAAGTAAGGCGCTTCCTATTTCAATTCTTGCTATATGGCTAAACTAATTCATTCATCTCAGGACGATCATAGTGTGTTGAGATTCTGGCTAGCCGAAATTACATGAAAGAACAAATAAATAATGAACCTGAATCGACTCAGTCGGGACTTCAGCCACAGTTTTTAAGAAACCCTTCTCTTTATCATTGCTGCAAAAGGTAATAGAAAGCACATGTTAAAAGACAAAAAAACGACACGGCAAACAAACCTGAATGCAATACCTTCTACAACTAAATTGTCAGTTGTAAGGGTTCCGGTTTTATCAAAACAGCAAATATCAATTTTACCAGCAAAAGGAATTCGAAATGGTTCAGTGCAGAATACACCTGAAACGAACTCCCACCAGGTATAGTTAACAATTCAAGAAAGAACGTCAAACTCAAAGAAGTGGAACGAAATAAAAAACCTAATTTCTGAAGAGCGATTAATGATGTGTTGACAGCCAATGACAGTTCTATAGGTAATTCAGGAGGAATAACGCTCGTGATTATGAGCGTACACTCCAAGAATAACTTGTATTTATTGCGCTTTTCGTCCTGACTACCTGGAAAGCACCAGCACTTATAGCGTTAAATTAAGTACGAAAAATAACGCAGAAGTTTCTCATCCGACCACTCACACTCACCTACAATCCATAGATAGCTCGCAGCTGCGATTGCGAAGATGAGCAAAAATAAAATAAAAAAGAATGTCTCCAAATTGTTCGCAGTGACCCGCTTCACTCCAAACATAATTGTCCTAAAAACTGTATGGTATACCATTTTCAAGCAAACGATTGATCAGCCGATGATTTTGAAACGAAGAATTTTCTTTGAAGAAGTAAACAAGTGATGAAATCTCTAAGCAAACAGATTTTCAAATTATGACTAGAAGTGCAAACCTAAGCAATTTCCCTTGACTTGTGTTAAATCCAGTCTTCAGTACGTAGCAGAGGCAACCATTATCTGGACCCTTAAGACCATCAACACCCTTTCCTAGATAGTATAAGCAACATTCGCAACCGATGAAAACATTTCTATCATAGAAAATATACCAGGGGGAGAGTGCTGAACAACTTTAGTTCCACCAAAAATAACGTGAAGACGACTGTCAGAATCAATATCGAAATATCTATCCTTTTCGAGATCTTCAATAGGTTCCTAAAAAGTCGAGAACCTCGATAAGACTCGACAATGAAAACTGATCTTGAGTGATGTCAAATCCTTTTATGAGAAAAAAAAACTTCCATTAAATACTCAGAAATAGACAAAAAACCAGGAAATACCTTCATCTGAGGGACGGACTCTCCAGTGAGCATTGACTCGTCAACAATACACGAGCCTCTGAGTAATACCATGTCGCAAGGCACGGTTTGTTGGTCAGAAGATCGCCCTGAAAACTTTTAAAAAGCTAGATGAAAGCTATTTCCTCTTCATATTTTCAGCAAACATAGATACACAGAAATTTTCCATAAACAGATTCGTAGAATTGAATGTTTTAGGAAAAATTCAACTCATCGGAGTGACATTAAACGCATCAGCGAAGAAAAAAAGAAAAAAGTAAGGAAAAGGATGTGAACACTTACCTAAAGAAACGATGTCGCCAGAAACCAAATCACTTGATCTAACTTTAGTCCACTTATGTTTCCGATAGACCTAAGGGTAAACTAATGGAATAGTAGAAACAATGAACAAATAGTAGCAGAAAAATCTTATTCACGGTGTCTAAAACACCAAATTAAGCTTTTCAATTTTAACAGAATGATATGGATATACGATGCTACGTAAAAAAACGTCCATACCTGGATAAGAAAAGCCTTGTTACCCATATTTCGTATTTCCTGCATATTCTTTAACTGCGCTTTTACCAGTGTTGCTTCAAATGTCATTAACATCAGTAAAGTAAATACAGAATAATACCACATATCCTCCAAACACCAAAGTCCCACGCAAAACACCTAAATACAACGAAAAGTACGCAATTTCTTAAGAAAAAATTGAACACCACCGTATCAATTTCGTTTCGAAGGTAAGCAACGAAACTTGTAACTGCTTTAAACCGCTGGAGCGGAGAATGATTAATTCATGTATGACACAATTCACGGCGCGTGTGGTGCAGTGGTCGGAGACGCCCTGCAACACACACATGGAATCGATCCTTGCTCCCACGGCCCACTAAGCCTTCTTTCCCTCCGTGGTCGGTAAACTGGTACCAGACTCGCCTGGGAGGATAGCAGCATTGGCTCGATACATCACTGGGCCACCGCGAGTCATCGTAGAGGCCAGATATGCATTCGGCCAGCTCCGACGATCCTTGATGAAGTCGAATGGATGGCGCAACTCTCAAGAATTGATCAACGCGGAGAGATTAGTCCTCTTTATTTTTATTTACGACATAATTCACAAAGCAAAGATGAAGGGAGGGAGACAACGGACATGCCACTAGTCTGTCCTAGGCAAACGAAATCGCTTGCAACTGGTAATGGAATGATGAGGAATCTATGCATTCTCCTCTGTGGTGCAAAACACGAATACTTTTGAATATCTAACATCGCAAGATGTCAAAGACACGTTCCAGAACGTTCAACAAGGTGTAACTTAAGCCGGCCACTTAGTAATGAGTCTCATGAATACTTTTACCTTCACGGGAACCAGAAACATGACTAAGAGTAGATCGTAACTTATTTTTGCTAACAGCCAATGTATTTAATCAACGGCTAGCAGAAATCGCCAGAACGTCAGTCATAAATCAACAACAAAAACGACGACAACTATACCAACCTCCCATTAGCTCAACAAGATGAGTTCATATGAGCACATAAATAAATATCAATTATGCCGAGGTTTATAGAAAGTTGGTGTTATCGAGATACACATGAGCGGCACCGTCCACAGAGAGCTCACATAGGCGTCGAAATGACAAGGGCCTGGGGATTTTCCCATGCATGAGCTAGCCAATACCGATTAGTATTTTCCAGTAAGTCTACTCCTGGCGACCAAACGAAAATACCTCCGTGTACAACAACACTAACAGAAGGAAGTTTAGAACATTGCCTGTTCACACTAAAAAGGCAACAACCATCTACGTTAAAAAGAAAGTACTTGAATGGGCATCACCTGAAATACGAAGAACGGCGCTGTCGCTCGTTCCTTGAACAGATCCCAAAACTGCTGTATCACCATTTCAGTCCTAAAAATAAAAACGAAATATTTTCCTTTGATACCCAATTGACGACTAAAAGTTAAACTTAGCAGAAAATGCTGGTCTTGCCAATATGAAAAACTAGAAGTTAGAGGGTACGAACTTGTTATCTCCTAGAAGATAACTGATCTCCTCTAGTTGGTCGTCGCTTTCAACTCCTCTGGACTGCTGGTAGTACTTCATAGGTCTGTATGAATCAAACACAACTGTATTAAAGGTGTTTGATGCCTCATCCAATGTATAATGCACTTTTTGGAACTCAAACCAAAACTTCGACTTTCCCGCTCTCTGAAAATTATAGAACGTTAATTAGACAATTACAATGTGCCTTATCTCCGACTCGCCTGGGTTCGTCTAAGAGGGACAAGTTCTGACCATCCATTGTTAGGAGTTGGAACAACTTTACAATGAGTTGCCTTGAGAGAATCGCTCTCCTAAAACTGGATTTATGAACCCCCGCTAAAGAAACTGAAGCACAAAGTACTACTGAAACCCACGTATACACAACTGAGCGCACACTTAACTCCGACAAACCAATGACAGAACAGAATAAGCAGGGCTTGTACCAAGCCAATTATGGCCACTCCAATCAGGCCCAATTCGTAGTATTCATTAAAGTCATAGACAGATATCCAAATATAAAACCAACACGCGTAAATGACTGAAACACAGACAGAAACTTTCTAAGCTTATATGACCCAAAGTAAATCAATTACGAGGATTTTCAAAGATGAAAGAAACATGGGTGATCAATTTAACGCATCACTTTTCTGCAAAAGTGGAAAAAAAAATAGATTTTTACTAGCTAAAAAACCAGGTTACCTCCAAATGGGACAGCATAGAGATGAGCCCAAAGAGGTAGACAGCGGTATGTGGTTATGGACTCGACGAGGGCATCCACAGCCATTCTATTCCACCTGAAACATCGACTAACTGAACAAAGACACCGCAGGAGAAGTGGGAAGAACATGAGAAGACGTGACGGTAACGCTGAAATCCACCCAAAGGCGCTGGAGCACAGTGACTATAGCACTACCACTGACAGAAACGGCCCCGTTTGGCGCTCAGAAGACACCATGAACTGTCAGGTCATGTGAAATCACGCGTCGAAGAGACTCGCCACTAGCAAGCCATGACAGGAAGAAGGCACTGAGCGGCTTTCCAGAAACGTACAGTTCTTACCTCGGACGATGGCAGGAAGCAAAATAGAATTGTATGAACGCACAAGAATTATGAGTTCTTAGGACCAATATTCATTTCGATATATGACAAGGCTATGACATGCAACCAGGCCAGCTTAATCCCAGAGCCGGCCCCTCCAATAATCTGAAACAACAAGCACGGTGGAAGAATTCCGGCGGCCGCGCGCGCCGCCATCCATCCTGGGCATTTCGGTTGTCGACTATTGGCTGCGTCATGCTCAGCGTTCATTTCCGTACTTGTTTCACTTGGAGGCACTTCCTCACATGATTTTCATGGGGACACATCTGACCACTGACCATAACACGTCGTCCGGGACGGCTACCTCTTGGCGGTGATGGATGTCTCGTGCCTTCAGTTTCTCGGGCTAGTGCATGCTAAACATCGTCCCACTGAAGGTTTGCTAAACTTGCGGTTGACGTTCCAGATGGGTACCATATCACCTATGCGCCGTCTTCATATGCCATTCAGGCTCCAAAATCCCCCTGCATTCACTTCCTACACGAGTCCGACTACTGCCTGAGCATCTGTGTTCTCGCCGTATGCAGTGCAGCTCCAGCATAACATGGCTTTCCAGGAACTCCCTGGGTATTCGTGCTGGGGTGTATCCAAGGCGCTGGCGTTCGCATTCGCTGAACCCTCGAGGGTTTGCCGCCTAGCGAGTGTCAGTCCTCCACGGCAGCAGCTTTTCCTTCGAACATTAGGCTGGCCCATCCGAGAAGGTCACAACAAGATGGATCTTGGCCGTACCAATCTATGTTTGCACTGTATTTGTTAATTGCATACTCCAGACTTGTATTTTTCACTTATACTCTGACTGAATCCTAACTGTCCGTACTTAATACCGTCACTTCTTATTTACTGCCTACGCTTTGTTAATCGGAGGGTATTATATGTGCTACAACCACAATGATGCCGAAATGTTTGAGAAACTCCGACCCGCTGGTGTCTGTGGTGGGGATCAAACACACTATTACCCTTTCCGGATGCTAACGTGTTCTCCACCACACCATGCGAGTCCTTCGTTTCGCCTTTCTCTCAGCCATGTAATTGCCCGCACATATTTCATGTGTGACTTCGGTGGGTTTTCTGGTTCGTTCTCTGTGCCTTTGTCAGACGTATATTGATAAATGTGAATTTAGCGCCGTTTCTGCTGCACTGCTATCGCTAGGTATTTGTTGTTTGTGAGGAAATAAAAACAGAGGTGATATCGATGCAATCACATTCGTTTCTATGACCTTATTACCACAAAATGCTAGGGAAATGGTTCCAGAGCAGTTATGGGCTCATCCTTATGGGTACAGTTAGTTAGTGATTGATGATGTTTTGAAATCAGCACAGTGCAGTTGGCGAATGCTGCTTTGCTAGACGATCACATCTTATCTTGTGAAGAGTAATGTATTTATCTGAAGATAACCACGATACAAGACTGGATAAAAGTGGGGAAATTACCTCAAACATGCTACAGGTGAGTTGTTTAGCAACTTCCATCTCTTTTTTATCCAGAAATCGTTTGCGTTAACCTGTTTGTAAGTGAGTATTGAATCCCACATCATAGACCTTGCTTTTATCAGTCGGTATCATCAATGAGTTCTCGTTTTTCATCATCTAAAGTCGATTTTCAGAGCTTCGGTGATGAAACTGCTGCTGAGCAAAAATGACTGCGTCATGCTTTTGTTTATCAGTTTAGTATTGAAGCTGTGAATATTTATGGAGAAAAAGTCATGTTGGAGGAATGCAAGTCTGCGGTTTTTTCCTTGAAGTTATTGGATTGTTTGACCGATTGAGGTACCGCGCTCTAGGCTGTGAAGAAGAGGAAGTCCGCTGAGACGTTAGGTGTGAAATAGACGTTGTCTTTAACAACTAGACGTGAGATCACTGAGAACATAAGGAACATTTGCAACGTTTTCCGCAGAATTATAGTCCATCTAGAAATTATGGCAGCCTTAAGGTGTGCTGAACCTAAACTTTAAGCAAAGGTTGTGATGTTTAATGTAAGAAGGCCAACATTTTCTTCTTTAACAAAGTGCGCTTACAGATCGGATAGTTTGACAAGTCTAGACTTTCTTACTTGCTTCCTTACTTGGATACTTGGATGGCATATCTTCACTGATTGTGCGGGCCCCAGCATAACTTCCATCTTTCTGGAGTTTCGCTAGCTTAGCTATTGTGCTTACTTGTAGTCACGAGGTGAGTCTGGCCAAAGTCTGCCCAAAGTCGTCACCACCACAGGCATGAAATTTCTAATGGAGTAGAGGGTAGGGTCTCTGTGTTCCTTTGATGCATTATAGCTATCCATGAAACTGTGTGATCAAGCTTGGTATGTGCTCTAGTACTTCATACTTAGTGGAAAACTATTACTGTAAATTGTCATTATGAACATGATGAACTGTCGATATAATTCAATTGTGTCGAACTCGAGAAGAGGTATCGTGCAGAATTTTCTCTATGTTCTTTGTGGTTGGTTGTCTTAAAACACTGATGTGCCTGCATGCCTTGATTCAGTTTATAAGTCCAATCACTCTTAACGTGATTCTTCCAGCGAGAACACTTTCGGAATTCATAAAATAACTGAGTCAGTTAGTGAGCAATGAAACTTGTTGTAGAATTTCAGGCAGGTTTCTTTAGTGATACCTACGTACTTGATAATTGAATGGCCCATCCTCACTAGTTGTGCGGGCTCCATCATAATCTCCATTTTTTCGAAGATTTAATGGTTAAGCCATTGTGGTTTTCTGCAGTCCCGAGGTCAGCCTGGCCAACGTCTGCCCAGGTTTTCACCACACAACCAGTGGCAGCCCTTGTGGATCAGTGGGAGATTTTCCACCATGCGACTAGTTTGATACAAGGGCGGTGGTGGATCCCGGTATTGGTTCATTCTTCGCTGAGCTTGCTGATGGAAATGCAGGACTCTTCAACTTGGGAAACTGCCGGGGATACCAATCCCCTCGCTGAGGTTCGCAACCCGATACTCACGAACACCTCCCAGTCACGATGAGGTAGTAAACCGTTGGGAGGAGCCTACGGATTCAGGGTGACTTCGAGGTGATTGTTTAAGAAAATGCGACCAGTTGTGTCTCTAAGGTACTCTTGATTGGTATCAGTGCCTAGGAATTATATCCATCTATATCCTAAGAATCCCACGCTGATTGCACTGTTCACTTCGCGAAAGATGTTTTTGTTCATTTCCACTGATCGGTGCTTTTCGATCGAATTCATTCCTTACTTCCTCGTCAAATTCCTTGTCTGCTTTTGTTAAGCACTATCTTTCTGGTTAGAAAGTGATAAAAATTCCATTGCCACACATGTTTGTCATTCTACATAACTCTGTTATCATTTCCTATGTTTTTTGCTGCCTTGGAGATTCGTTAGCCACCCGCTACTCCAACAGCTACAACTGTGACTGCCTTCAAGCGAACTTTTCCAATTATCGGAGCATTCGAGAAGAGTTCTGACGTTGTTTTCAGGAGCAGTAATGTCGAAAATGGGATGTCCACAGTCTGATACAGATCCGAACACTGTGACTGTTTTGCGCAAGAATGGGCCCGTTAACAAAACTCTCAAATCGAACGCGGTACGTCCATTCACTTTATGAGCGGCTGGGACAGACATATGATTCGATTTGTTTTCATTTGTGCTAATTTATGACAAAAATGCTTGTATTCAAGCATGGTTATATATCATGGTTGCGCTAAATAACCAGTCGCATAGCAAAATTTCATGAGAAGTTAATACTCTTTAACGCATCATCTAAAAGTGTTATCTACCGACTTGTATCTTTTATACGAATCCTTTCAAATTACTTGCATTTTTCTCTATTCTACTTCACATTTATTTTGTCTCTTTCATGAAAGTGCTTCAATTTGAGAATTGGCTTCATTCGTAATCACATTCGTTTTGTTGATGGTACGATAAACAAGGTTCTGGCTTAGGTGTATGGTTGCTGTCTTGAAGAATCCAATGGTTCTGTGAGTGGTATGTCATGTTTTCCATGTTTCGTATCTCCAACATCTTTTTCTCCATTTCTGCTCTCACCTAGCAAAACATCGCAGAGATTGGTTAGAATTTTCCAGCAGCTTATTGCTTGGGTCTATCACTGTTGGTTTGTTCTAGTGTTCGTGACTTCTTTGAGGAAAGGATTTGGTTTTCACCATATACTTTCATCCTCTGTATACATCGCATTGACACGTCGCCTCACGACAAGTCAAAAATCGTCTTGCAATGCTTTGATTCCACTTCAAGCACCTCATATTTCATCTACTATACAGCAAATTATTAGGAGATTGTATGGGAAAGATAAGTCAGTCAGCTTCTCTTCGCCCGGCTTGTTCATCATTATGAAGATGACATCATCTAATTTACACATAGAGCAAAAATGTAGTTGTATATATTTATATGTGTCAAAGCTCTTTCAAGATCATACTTAAATCCAATCCCACTTTTTGGGGGTGTACCTTGTAGTTTTGCAGTTAACCATTTGTGCTTCCTCAAAAGACGGTTAGTATTTGACAGAGAAATACTTCCAGGCTTTGAATCAAGCTCTTCGCACAGGCGTGGCCGTCGAATCTCAAAGGAAGGTAATGGCTGGCGTGAACCGCCAACATACCAGTAACAAAAATACTCTGAGGTTTGTCACATGCTTCTTTTTTCTTGAGCGCTGGATCGAGCTAGATACCATATGTTTATTACAGGGCACCTCTAACCACTATGGTGCACGCACCCATCCTTTGTATACTTTTTTTAAACTCAGGTTATATGAGTGTAAATATCTTATAGGATAGCTCAAACCAATAAGTGTATCCAGATGACCTGTCCAAGTATTACAAGCTTCATGAATTACTGGAAGTATTAGGTTGTTTGGAAATCAATGCACGATCTCAATGTGTGTGTCAATTCGGAACAAAATTTATTAGTATGAATGGAAACCATTAGAATCTACACATCTTTGCCAACAAGAAACAAGTTTGTTTATTCAAATTGCTTAAAACTTTGGATTTCTGGAATCGATGAAGCCATTGAAGACAGTTTTGGCCTCAGCTTTGTTTCTGAATGATTTCTCGTATAGGAAGTTATCGAGATGCTTCAAGACGTGGCAGTTGGTAGGCGATAGGTTCAGGTAGTAATGTGGTTCAAGCAGAGTTTCATAGCCCAGTTCGTTCAACAGTAATGCGACATGTTGCAGCGCTTTATCGTGACGAAGGACCATCCAATTCGTCTAGCATTGATTTGTTAAGTTTCTTGGACTTTCCTGTTTTTCTAGATGCTGTGAAACAGTTGAGATGTGTACATCGAATCCTTTTGCAAGTTCTCGATTCGTCGTAAATGACCGATACCTTCTGGTTGTTGAACTGACACGAGGTTGGTATAAAATATTTATTCAACTGACGTCTCGACGTCTTCGTCTTTTATAAAACCGGATTGATCTAAGTCGATGATCCAAAGATGATCGCCGTCACGATGTGGGTGTTCGTTGTCGCATCAAGCTGAATCCACTGAGGTGGAGCACGTTCGATGCGGCAACCTCGTGTCAGTTCAACAATCCAAGAACGTTCTATGTGTATTTTCTTCCACCAAAGCTTTGAAATCACCATCATCAATAGCAGAAATAGTTCCTTTGCCGGCCTACTCCATCTATGAGGTGCAATTCGACACGAAGAAATTTTCCAAAACTTGGAACCCTCGTTGCACTGTGCATTCGTTATTACTTCCCATACCTTATTGATTTTTCAAGCGTTTTCCCTACTTCACGACCAAGTTTGAATTCATGAAAGTATACTTTTGAAGGTTGCATCTGGGATAGCCTTGTTATCCAGTTGTGCGAGCGAAAGTGCATAGAACAAGCTTACATTAATACGCAATAGTATACTACATTAAGAAAAGGTCTTTCTAGAACACACAGCTCTAAGGCTGTCGACGTTGATCAATTCCTGAGGGATAAGCTATGCATCCGACTTCATTAGGCATCGTTGGAGGTGACTGAATCCGTATTTGATCTTTGCAATGACTGGCGGTGGCCTACCGATATATCGAGCCAATGCTGCTATCCTCCTAGACAAATTCGCTACCAATTTGCCGACCGCGAAGGGATGGAAGGCTTGGTGAGACTGTGGCGCATGAATCATTTCCATGTTTATTGCAGAGCACCTCCGACCACAGCGCTATAAGCGCCTTCTGTTTAGAAAAAAAATTGGACTACAAATCGTGCATTGTTTTACAAATAAGCTTATAACTACTTTGTCTGATAGCTGTTTATTTTCATCTAAACAGTGAATTCATTTAAGACTCGATGAGGAGACAGATGAGTTGCATCACGAACGTGTGAGCTTGTCACTCGGGAAAGCGATGCAGCAAGCTCGTCAAGCTAAGGAATGGACACAAAAAGATCTTTCTATTGTTAGTAATGCTTTGTTCCTCCGCTTCAAATCACTTCATATGAGCTTCGTTTTTAGGCTATAAATGAGAAACCTCAAGTTGTTGCCGAATACGAGAATGGAAAGGCCGTCCCGAATCAACAAATCCTCCAGAAAATGGAACGCGCTCTAGGGGTTAGTTTGTCGTAGAGCTGTTGTTCCGTTTACTATATCAGGTTCTAATCTTCAGTTTACTGTCCAGTGCACAGTACTTTCTTTAAAGTCGTGGAAAATTTTAAAGATGGAGTGGATGGGAACACCTGCGCTAATTTTTTATGAATTCCTGCGGCCGACTGAGTACCAACGAAAAATTCTGGTAGTAGTTTACCAGCCGAAGTTATTCCAAGGGACAAGCCTTCATCGCTTGTCATATATTCCAGCTAAAATGTATAAGTAGCAAGTACTTGAACACTAAATAACTTCGAAACGGTATTGTTACAGGTTAAGCTGCGCGGCAAGGATATTGGCAAACCGTTGGGAAGTGGGAAACCGAAGAAGTAGATGTTGTACACAAGTCCACTGTATCATTTTCAATAATGTTCTGTTAATAATACGGTTCTTGTTAACTTTAAGTGCGAGAATGTACATCAAATATTCTTCGTTGCAAAAATAAAGGGCGAAGACAAACAGAACTCTTTACTATTATACCTATGCAAACATGTTAATTAATAACGTGTACATTTAACTACATGGTTTGGCAGATTCAACTTCTATATACTTAATGAGGTCAGCACGTTCATCAGCTTTCTTCAAACCAGCGAAAACCATCTTCGTCCCAGGAATGTACTTCTTCGGATTAAGAAGATATTCAAACAATGTTTCACGCGTCCATACTACTCCCTAAATAAAAGAAAAATATTAATGCTTAAATGAATTAACTGAGGCGAACTATCTTAACTCTTTTATTTACTGCCTTTTTCTTCTTAATGGCAGGGTATGTTGTGAAATATAACTCGTATGAAGTGCTGAGATATTTGCAAAACTCCGGACCACAGGTGTATGCAGTGGGGAACGAACACGCGCTGTTGTCCTTACCGGGGAGCAGCGCACTTCACCACTACACCATCCGGGTCAATCCCGTTGACGGGTGATTGCTGATGGCAAAAAAGATCGATAGAACTAGCTGAGATACATGCAAAGCGAATAAGAGAAAAGACCCGGATGGTGTAGTGGTGAAGTGCGCTGCTCCCCGGTAAGGACAACAGCGCGTGTTCGTTCTCCACTGCATACACCTGTGGTCCAGAGTTTTGCAAATATCTCAGCACTTCATACGAGCTAACTATACTATTTGAAGACATCCAAACATTACCTGTACGGCGCTTGATTTTAAAATTTATTGTAAACGCCGTAAATACCTGCTATGATAATAAGTTCGTAGCTAATCATATTTTTGTTTTTGGAAGTATGGATACTCAAGAATATCGAATTACGCCCACTATGTCACACTCAGTTTTGAAAAAAGCTTGACATGCAACCATCCACAACTATGAGCTCAACACTGTTTGAAAGGGAGAAAAAAGTACGTGCATTCACGACGACTGCCCATCCGTATTGTGGAATTTATTCTGAACTAAGTCCAACGAAAATATATAATTGAAGCATCTTTCTTACAACTTTAGGTACGCCAACTAACCTAACAAACTACTGATGGACTTCACCAGCAGCTTTCTCATTAAGTATAAATCAGTAATGATGAAAGGAGAAAGTAGAAGATGTCGTACATTTCCCATGTAACGCTGTCGATATATACGTTTTCTGTTTCACATACAAAAACCCAGTGGCTGCACATGAAAAAGTTAAACGAAACATTAGGGCTCAGGTTCGCGCAACAAGTTATTCACCATGAATAAACGACGGAACCCTATTTTTAAGGATTTTGGTCCTTTAAAATCCATAGCACACACAAGCTTGTACTTCAACCCAATCCTTTCCGACAACTTAAACAGTTGAAAGTCCAAAATATAGATTACGGTGGTTAAACTGGACCTTAAGGAACCTTCTGTGTGGTTGTGATAAACAAGAGTCACATAACAAGTAGTACAAACGAATCCGATTACAAATTCATGAAAGCGGTCGACATTACATTAAGTTTATAGAATGTAGTAGGATCACTTAAGCATCCATAGTCGTTTTCATCCACTAAGGCTGAAAAAATGATGAGGATTTAAGCGATTCTTTAGTAAGACTTTAACGTCTCGTAACATGTTCAAGAATCTAAAAAACGACGAACAAAATCTTAGTTCACAGGTGCGGATAAAAACACTCTGAAACAATTGCGAGATTTCAGCTTGTGCACTACCAAAACAGCATATCTCTATTAGCACGCGACCTCATCTCTGGTCAATGGCACAGACGTGACATTGACAAGATCGAATCCGGACATCAAAGGAATACTTTCCCAGTGCTACAGTACACAATGCGTCTTTCCAAGTACTGGAGTAAGAAAAAAAGTGATCCTGGTATTCGGCTCATCTGATTACCGCCCATCAGTCGGCCGGTGTATCACAAAAATCGCTGTGGTTTTAGAATTCCACACACAAGGCAGCAAACACCTTCATGGTTCAAGAGTTAGCAACTGCCTAGGTTGGAGACCTGCCCACGCCATGGCAAGGCTAATCCCGGAAAAAAGCCATGTTTATGCACCATTTAACAGGTTAAAGAGTAGATGAAGCCACAGATCTATGTTTACCAGTTATAAAGATAATGAATTAGTGTTTCCTGACATATTTTCCTCTGTAGAAGCACATTTACAAAGTCCACAAAGACAGTATTCACGAAAAAACGATTCCATCGACCATTAGAAATTCGCGATGAGTGGAAGGAAATCAAGAGCATCAAAATATATACAGGACTGAAAGCATCGAAGTACTCCTGGTTTCTTGGATATATCAACACCCCTATTATTCTTCTATGACCAAATCCCACAAAAACGTGGTATTGAAGTTGGGCAGAAGTCGTTCCTCAATAGTCCATGACAAGTACTACATTTGAAGATAGCTGCTACACACACGTAAACATGTTCATCTCTACTAGCGCAAACGATCGGCAATAAAAGGACAGAAGATAAAGCCCTCAGTGATGACCAATTCCTTACGAATACGCCACGCATTCGACTTCAGTACGCATCGTTAGAAGTGATTGAGTGCACATCTGGCCTATAGAGTGACTCGCGGTGGCTTACCATAGTATTCAGCCAATGCTGTAACCCTCCCAGGTAAGTCTGGTAGCAATTTGCTGACGCCGGGGGTATGGAAGGCTTGGTGGGCCTGGGGTGCGGGGACCGACCCCATATGCAGTGGAGGTCGCCCCCGACCAGGATGCTAAGCACGCAACGATGGGCGATAGTATCAAAAAATCCGTGATGAACACGTGATGAGGCATGGTGCGAAGAATGCAAGATTAGTTGTCATGAAAAAGAGTTTGTATAGCACTTCTCAAACGACCAACAAGATACTGATTTCTCTAATGAATATAGCTCCTACAAAGACGATTCAGGGTTTGTGTTGGACAAGCAAAATTAATAAATTGCTCATTTCTGCATACCATATGACTACGAATCTCTCCGACTGCAGATCTTCTTTAACGGAACACAGAGGTTTGTGACCAAATGGAGTTCATAGAGATGTATAGGAAGCCTATGGACGTATAAATATAAATGCTGCAAAAAAAAATACCAAGTGATATAACACTAACCTTGTTTTTGTTGGCAGCAGAATAGTCGAAGCCTTCAACACTTCCTGACTTGCGCCCAATGATTCCATGAAGAGTGGGACCAGTCTTCGTCGCTTTAGAGTCAACGACATGACATTGCAGACACCGCTGCTTGAATATCTTCTTACCTTTCTCGTAATCACCCTCGGGGATATCGGCCATCCTAACAACCTTCAACGACTTTTCATAGAAAAACGTCAGGGGCTAACAACAAAATATAGTCAGAAATCGAAGTAGTAACCAAGATTACGAAGACCTTTAGCCACCGTTGTCTGTGGAACGTCAGCGGACAGGCGTGGCCACGGGCGGTCAGCCAAAGTGTAGGGACGCAGGGCGCCCATAGTTTAAGATCTGGCTACATTTCGAAAATATACATGGTAAAGCCACTAAGGACAACGCAGCTGTGACGATAGTAATAACAATTTATTAGTTAACAAATAACAATGTGCCACTAAGCGAAGTGAGTGGTGGGGAGTCTGGTTGTGAACTGCGACACGTTCCTCCTCTTCGTGACGCGATGCGGAAGCGGGAACTTGATCTTCGAGTCGTGGAACATCTTAATCCCGGCCCTCTTGGTGTCCGCCGCCTTCACGGCTTGCACCTTCAGGATGTGGATCCGGTCTGCCTGGGCACGGTGACGGGCTCCCATGTCGCGATAGGCCTGCGTGACTGCTCCAGCCACAGTAACATCTCGATACTCTCTGTACATATTGTGGTGCCCAGTACGAGAATCATATTTTAGCCAAACACCATAGTTTTTCACCGAACCAGCAACTTTCCTGGGGAATACCTAAACAGAACGACATAAGTGTAATTGAAATAATCTGGAAAACTGCAATATCCGAACCTGTTTACACGACAAAATCTCCCCATTTGCTTTCTTGACACGACGCAACATGGAAACGAAGTACCAGAAGCGCGACTTTGCAATCACATGGTTCGAAGCGAAGATCTGCATCTTCCAAATGGGAGTCACCGGCTCCTTGTCGGTGGGAAGCTTGCGGCCGACCACTTCGTACTCTTTCAGGGTTTCTCCCAAAGCCTTCGTCGGCATTCTTAACCTTCAAACAAAGTTACTCATACACTTGATCACGAAAACTCGAACATCCGAGAACAGTTATTGCATTATATGTGACTTTTAATGAACTTAGGAGAACGAAAATGTCTTTCAACACCAAACAGGTAGAAAACGGCCTAAAAGACAAAACCTTTAAGAAACAAGGGGAACACTCCCTCCAGATAAAACACGACAGTAATCAGAAGTTCGAGCAAGGCTTAGATAAACGGTTACTACCAGTTCATGATAAACAGAGATGAATTCCTGCTGTGGGTGGACGGGACTCAAGGCCCGTTCGTACACGTATACCGCAGTGTGTGCCAGGAAGACGCCAGCACTTCATGTGCGCTCACCAACACCGTGACGTCGATTGCGGACAGTCCTGACCGAGACGGTCGGAGCAAAATGGAGGATGTAGCTCTGAGGGGTGGGGGGTTTAGAGTTCGCCTGATGAATCCTTAATTACCATTTGCGTTGTTGTGTTTATCGTTAAATGGCGCGTATGGCGCAGTGGTTGGAAGCGCCACTGCGATACACACGTGGAATCGATCTCTGCTCCCGTGGCCCACCAAGCCGTCCATCCCTCCGGGTTCATCAAATTTGTACCAGATTTGTCTGAAAGGATAGCAGCACTGGCTCGATACATCGGTAGGTTACCACGAGTCATTGTAAGTGCCAGAGATGCATTCAGTCACCTCCAACGATGTTTAATGAATTCGAATGCATGGCGCGTCCCTCGGGATTGATCAGCGCCGAGAGCTTTATCTTTTGTCCTTTTGTTTGTCGTTATACGTCGTACTGCTCCAACTGGAATGTTTTACAACTTTATTCTGAGGATGACATGCGTATTTCATCCATGAGTGGCAGTTGTCCCACCCCTTAAGCATATCGTATTTTAAGGAAGAGTTTCTAAATGATAGCCCCATATGGTGGGGTTCGACGTCTGTTGGCGGAGGTGCCCTTTAGAACATTAAGGCATTGTTCTTCAGACGGTTCAAGGGTACAACAAGGAGACTTAATCCATATTGCGCAGCACTTCCAGTCAGTCCCACCTCATAAAAGAGATAAGGCAACTTTTTTGGCTGCAGTCTGTAAGTCTTTTGTAAGCGTTCTCTTTCCCACAACCATGTGGTTCATGAATTTATGAATTTAGCTGCTTTTAAAGAGAACAAACCACGTGGGCATGTCGAGTTTATCAACACCGCGCTGAAGTACATCAAGGAGTATGGAATCCATAAAGATCTGGATGTTTACAAGGCTCTACTTAATGTTTTTCCGAAAGGAAAGATGATCCCGCAGAACTCCTTCCAGGTTGGCATCTGTTAATTTTTGTAAGGCCCTACACTTTTGTACTGTATACGTCCTGCTCCAGAGAATATTCTTACACTATCCGATGCAACAAAACTGCTGTGTCAAAGTTCTGGATGAAATGGAATGGAATGGTGATTTGCAGAGGCTTTGATGTATTTGTTATGATTTGCCGCCACATATTCTACGAAGGTTCTATAGGTGTACAACCAGACAAAGAGATTCATGACATCGTCGTGAATGCTTTTGGAGAATGGAACTTCGCCACAAAGAAGGTGAGTGCTGTTTATGTTCTGTTATACAAAGAGATTATTCTTCAGATCTCTTATTCGATCAGAATCTTCTAGATAAAACGGATGCTATATTGGATGCCGAAATTGAAACATTCAAACAAGTATTTGGACCGCAGAACTGTAGAAGGTGAAGTACATTTCTCGGAATTTATAAATACATCTAGTCTTCTATATTCTTTATTTTAACGACCTGAGCCCTCCCAAAGGTTTACCGCCTCATCGTGGGTGGGAGATGTTCGTGGTTGTCGGGCTGCGATTTACAGGAGAAGGATTCTTCTTATCAGCAGGGTCTTCCAAGCTGTGAAGGAGTCCGGTGTTTCCACCAGGAATCCCAGCTAAGAGTAAAGTAGTACCAATACCAGGATTCGCCACCGTAGTGGTATCAAAGTAGTGGCATGGTTGCAAATCTCCCACTGACCCACGAGAGCGGTGACTGCTTGTTGTTGTTTTGACGACCTTTGGGAGACTTTGGCCAAGACGACCTTGGGACTCCAGGGAAACAAAAAAGCTAAGCCAGCAAAACTCCGAAAAATGAAGATTACGTTGAAGCCAGCATAACTAGTGAGAACGAGCCGTCCAAGTCCAGTAACCGAGTTTCTTGTTTATCGAGAACTTTGTGATCTAGGATTTGTTTCAAACTGACTTCTACACTGCATTTCAGGCCAAACACTGTCTCCAGCTGAGTTGGCAGGCGTAGCGCTGAAAATGATGAGTCCCGATCCCGGAACGTCAATATCTCTAGTTAAAGTACGATTTACAATGTTTTTTTTTCCCACATTTAGAAATCACAGGATTTGTTGTGGAAGTAGTAATCGTAGAAATCTCCCAAGACAAACTTGGAAGCAAGATTATATTATACGGTACCGAAATAGTGTATTTAAGCTCACACGTAGAGATTCCGATGACAACGGGTGGTTTGCATTTGCGCAGAGTCTGATTCAGAAAGAGTTGATTCGAAATCTTCGTGATAATTCTGAGGTCTGTCTATGCTAACGGATTCAGCAACTTCTCGTAAGTGGAATGTAGTGGTTCTAGTTGCTTTCAGGTCTTCATCGATGGCCCATTTAGAGTCTATGTTATGGAAAATCCAGTGCAATACATAGTCATGAGCTGTCCACCAACTAGCGATCACGTTGATGAGTTCGAACATGAAGAAGTTTGTAAGAAAGCAATTACTCGCTCACTTTTACTTTGATAGACATTTCATCACGTTTAGTTCGAGGAGGACTTCTCAACGTTTTTCTCCGAGTGGAAAAATGAGAAGTGCAAAAGGATTTGCTCAGTGCACGAGCAGAAACATGAGACGATACTTGCTCTTGGAGCAATTCACCGGTGAGATTTTCTTCTCTTCAAAGATCTCCTAGCACATCTAAAAGTACTAAGTTGGTAGGTGTGAGATTTCAGCACGTTTTTGAAAAACGACAAAGAGCTTGTTGATCATCGTGTTCTTATCGAAATTGACTCTCTGGAGCATGTTAGCCTTTTCTTTCCGTTTCAGACATGAATTCCTGCAGATTCCATGACTATTTCATGAGGGTCTTTACGTCTTTGCGAGTGGAAGAGTGGGGTGCTTGACCATCTGTTCCTAAGAATATCAGCGCAAATTAGACGGATACCTAGCGAACACATAATTCATCAAAATCGAATTCTCATGTTCAAGCATTCTATGAAACCTATGATAATTTGTGCTTAGAGAGTCATCAGAATCAATTTTCACCTACCCCTACCACCTTTTCTCTTATCCATCATTGAGTATACCACTGCTACCATATGCATCGACTTCAATGCATAAAGCGCGGAAATAATAGGTGCTTTTAATTTCAAATTATTATATTTCGGCTCATAGAGAGTGAATACATCCTAGCTTATATAATGAAGTGAAAAATTATAGAGTGTGGAGACTTATCAATGATATAGAGCTTCTCTTACCCTACGGAAATCAAGTCAGCCTTTCTGGGAACCGCTAGACGTTTTCCTCGTTTTTTTTTCGTCGAGAACTTGTCGATTTCGAACACCAGAACTGTCGAGAAAACCCGTCTCGTCCAACGGGATATGGTACTATTCTTTGCTATAGCGTCGGTATTTGTTTCGTCTACATTTGCTTTGAAAATTTTGACTTTGTTCCCGACTTTTTTTTTTCAAGAATTTTAGTTTTAAACGAATGTCAGATTAGAGAGATATCTTATACGGTCGAATAAATTTCCCAAGGTCGACATCTTTTTAACCTCGGTTCTGATCAGTAACGTTGTATTCTCTTGATGAGCTAACTTGAGTTTGCTAACATAACATTTATTCCTCAGTCTCTGACGTTTCGAGGGATTTCGCCTTCTTTAAAGCACACAGACGCACTCTGATTAGCCGAATACTTGGAAAGAACTCAAAACTGAAATTTTAATCGAATGGGAAGCAGCTTAAAAACACTTGTCGTTTCTTATATGTCTTTAACCTGTTAAAGAGATCAACCACGTAAGCTGTACAAGAATGGGGAATGTTCCTATTTCAGGTAAAAAAATTGTGAAATGAGGGAATTACTGCTGTAACAGCGTGGTTTCTACTCATGAAGAAAACATAAGGTTGTATTTGCCCTCATGGCAATAGAGCAATATTTTACTCACTAGGCTTTGAAGTCGTAAACTCCTTTACTGTAATCAAAAGATTGTCATAAGATGTGGAAAAATGAGCACGCTTGTTGGTGGAATACGAACATATTGACTTACTATGTCGGATCGTTGACCTCTCACTTCTAGTTTGGCTTACAAGTGGAAATGTCTGACTACTTAGTTCCGGGACCTTCGGAACTTTATAGAGGAAGTGAATTCCGCATTGCACTTAAAGTGCTGGTCTTGAAGGCTTTATCCACTGTTAAAAGCGCATAATGAAGCAGTTTTTCTCACTCTAAAAACTCTGAGAATGCCTATGCGAAGTCCGATTTCTCACGTTTATCAACCTACTATCATTTGAAGGACTCCAGCTGAAAACTGCACCGTATTTTAGGCAAGACAACAGTACTGCTTCGCTATGGTTTGAAAGATTGCAGGAGGAAAATCCGAGTTTGTCAAGGCTAAAAGCTCGACTTCGGCTGGACAAGAGCCTATTGCATGGTGCGCAAGCATAGCCTTCTTATTAGTTCAAAAGCTTCCTTAATATGTACGTTGTTATCATCGTCTATTATACTGTCTTGAATACGTGCGATGTGTATAAATATAGGACAGACAGACAGAAACAAGCATAAAAATGAAATCTCAGACAGTTATCGTTCGGATGTGAGGAATTGCTCACATTCCCTCACTAGAGAAGTGAACTACCAGCAAAGAAAAAAGACTTGACAACATCGAAACTTCCTACCTTGATATCTACGAAAACCTTGAGGAGCAGCAGAGCTAGGTAGAAACAGGAAAATCAACCAACGCAAGTTGTCCAAAACCTGCTACCACTTATCTACCGTGGGTGATCAGTAAAGGGAATTGTGGTACACGCCCGATGTGTAGATTCGCAAACTGGTGTGTTTGAAACTCCTAGGCATAACCACAATGATGCTGAAATATTCGTAAAATTCCGGACCGCAGGTGTCTACGGTGATGAGCGACGCGCTACTACCGTTTCTGGGGCTAACGCGTTCACCACCACACCGTGCGAGTCCTTCGTTTCGCCTGTCTCTCAGCTATTTTTCTACCGATCAGTGCCATCAGCAATCACTCGTCAACGGGATTGATCTGCGGAGCACAAGTCGGCATTGAGTCCTATTAAGCTGTTGTACTCTCCCATACTCTGTGGGCCTACTCATGTTAGTTATAAACGCACAGAATCGTGCACAGCGTAGTTCGTAGCATTGTTATTACTGGAAAAGTTATGCCAATCGATCCATGACCCTGTCAACTTTTACTAGCTCGGTTCGGCAATGGCGGTGCTTGTTTTGAAAGACGAAGTGTGTTGGACAAAGTGTTTGTGAATGCAATATGTGTATTCTTCTGAGTACATCGTTAGCACAATTTGCCCTAAAGTGACTTTACTTATTAAGAACAGGTTTTACGACATCTCGACAAGTATACGTGACCAGTAGATCGTTTGCACAGTACTCGATGGGGTGAAATATGAACAATATTTACAAATAATACATCAGATTTTTCATTTGCCGCTGATTATCCCTTATTCTTACCTTTAATCTCTTTATAAGGAACAACGTAACGTTGCGGTATAGGTAAGGAAGGTGAGTATCCAGTGTTATAAGAAGGATCTTCGAATGCAACCAAGTAGTCATCGGTTGCAAGTTGCGGTACCCTCTGCACAACGCCTAAAAATATTACTATGGAGGAATATTTGTCTTAGATCATGTGTATTCAGCCAGCTGACCCTTATAAAAGCACGTTGTCTGGGGATACAGAGCCAGCACAAATGCTTCTACGGGAAACAAGGCATGAGCGTCTCGTTCTGGATCAGCTCTCCACTTCGGCAAAGGTATAAGGCGACGTCGTGCAATTGTTAATCGAACCTCAAAGTAAAATGATCACAAGATGCTTGTAAAATACCAGTGGGTGGGAACCTTTTGTTCGTCGTCGACGTCCTTTACATCATAGCGACCCGTAGGACTGACGGCAACAACCTTTAATTATCCATCATTTTTAAGAAAAAAGTTGGAGAAAGGCGAGCTGGAGTGTGGTTAACCTCTGCAAGGATCCAGTTCTCATCGACGTAGGCAGCTACAGAATCACCCGATTTCAGAGGCATTGTGTCAGGAATGGTTATGGCTCCCACAAACGGAGGTGGGAAGCCGTCAACGCCGCCTATGAACAGTGGAAGGGCTGTCCCCTAAATGTACAGCGATTTGTAAGAAAAGGCATATCCTGCTTAGTTTGAGGTTAGTTTTTGTACCTGAAGATTTATGAGTTGCATAAGAGCATGACGTTTGAGATGTGTCTTCATCTTCGTCTTATATTCTGCTCTACGTATCTTCTCAATATCACTTAGCAGTCTCCTGAAAAAAAGTGCTAAGTTAGCATTGAAAATGGGAAGCTTAGGAGAAGAAGTCAGTCTCAACCGTACAACATCAACATTTCAGGAATGCCACAAAAGAGCGAACTTTAGAACTGTATCATACCTGATGTACTCTCCTTCACTCTCACATGCCTTCAACAACGCTTGATAGAGACCTAGTGTTTTCGCCTTATTCTTTAGACAGAGTGAGCCACCTTTTTCCGTGTACGATTGAAGTGTTTCCAAAGTCTCGTTGACGCGATCTTTTCGAGAGCGAACGTGCATCAGCTGTAACTAGAACTACACAAGGAGCTTATGGATGAGTTCAAGGAAGCTCGCAATGATGAAGGAAGAAACTCCCACCTTCCTGTGGATGTCACCGATCGCACTTGATCTCTTCTCTTCAACATACTCTTCGTCGTTCTTCTTGTGTCGGACCATCTAATCTGTCTAGTTAAAACATTTAGAGATGCCTCATCTTAGACAAATTTCTCAGTAACCAGTTGCAATACGGATGAACACTCGAAGAGGTTGGAATGAATTCAGTGAGCGGATGAAACATACAGCAATTCTGTTTTTGATAGAAACGAGTTCAATCAACTCCTTCAAAACGAACTGCACTCTTTGTACATCAAACAAAGCTGGGATTCACCCTGCAGTTCGAACATCATTCCTTCCAAGCCACTCTAGGTTACAAATGCCTCCGCAAAATTCAGGAAAACCACATGTGGCTAACCGTAATATCGATTTTCTTGGGGCGCTAATATTGAATGGAGCACGTTTCCGCATCCGCGTTCTCCTGGATAAACCTTTCGATCTAACAAATAACTTTTGCTTTAGCACTTACTCTTGCAGTTTGTCAGTTGCGATCAGAGTAAGTACGGTAGTCGTATGGAGACTAGTTTAATTTGTGGAGAATTGTTACTGAAATCGTCCAAAGATTAATCCCTAAGATAATTCAGGAAATAGATGTAAATTAGGATAAAACATCTTGTGTTATATTTTGAATGTAGAGCAATTTTTCTTTATTGATGATGTTTCAATTCGAAATGTTCATGACCATGTGTTAACACGTTGTAAAGAAGAGAAACCCTCGAAATGCGCCGAAGAACCCAAAGTGCTTGACATTTCCGGTGATGGACGGAAGATTTTGTGGAGTTGACATGGTCGACCCCGTCGATTTGCCGTTCGGTTTCAGAGTTGTGTCATTTCTGATGGTGAAAGGTATTCCCTTAGAGATACGCCATGCGTTCGACTTCATTAAGCATCGCTGGAGGTGGTCGAACGCATATCTGGCCTCTACAATAACTCGTGGTGGCCCCTACCGATGTATCGAGCCAGTGCTGCTATGATCCCAGACAAGTTTGGTATCAATTTGTCAACCCCGGACGGATGGAAAGCTTGGCGAGCCATGGGTACGAGATTTGATCCCGGGTGTGTATTGCGAGGCGCTCCCGACCATTGCGCCACATGCGCCATGTCAGTGAAATCTGAAATTTTCCACTTACATTTGAAGAGACTGAACAGTTGAAAGCACCGTGGTATTTGAGCAAGGAAGCGAAGACGCCCATGCACGTATTTTCTCTCGCTGCAACCAACCCGAGATATATGACGCTTGTGAAAATTCAGCTAGGGACTACAACTCTTCTAGAATGAAATGGCACAAATGGCACGGATGCCAGAGGTTTGAGGACGATAAAGGCTCGCCCTAGCCGAGAACATATGCGTAGTTTGGATGCCACGCACATGGAGTGAACATACATTACCTAACAGAAATTTCTATATGTAGCGAAAAAGTAACTGTGATAGCACACAAGACAAAAAGTGCTTAAACAGAGATAACATATGGTTTTAAAACATTCTTCCCGTCGATATTAAAATTTCAGATAGCAGTAGGACTTTTGCTGCTAACCCGAGTTCACAAAACGCAATCTCCCCTAGACTTGCAAAATCTTTTTCAGAAACGGCCGTCATTTAATCTCGGCACAAATAGTCAACACTTGCTTAAATCATTGAGCTAACATGAGGTTGCTTAAAAAAATGTCTGTCGAGCTAACCTGTGGGCGCCATTATCTTCTTCAGTGCCAAAATGATCCGTGTTGATTGTCCACAGCCGTTCGCACTTGCGAATTGGCTCTGGGTTATTGAATGGAATCGAATCCTCTAGAATGGAGCACCGCTCGCTAGAATACGAACCTCTTTACGAAGAACCACTTCTTTACCTTACAACAAGGAAGCATACAAAGGGCAGAAGTATCCAAAGTTACATCAGTAACTACCACACCCATTGAAGAATTAGCGACTGGAAGCGATTCGGCAGAATCACAAAAACAAGGAGAACGACCGTAAACGTCCTCGTATTTATCGGCAAAACTATCTCCAAGGGTGGAAAGAATTGCGCCACGGGATATACAAAGAAATTCCGCAGCTCCGATCAATGTCAACAGAAAACGTGTTACAGTCATAGAGTAAGAAGCAGTCTTAAGAGTTTTGATATGAAACCACCAAGTAATACAGTTTCCACGACGAATGGAGAATCGTTCGCTGCAAAGGCAGACTAAACAAAGTGCCCATACCACTTGAAGCTCGACAATGAATTCTGAAATACCACTAATTTCCGTTTCATTACCTTACAAGCCAACCATAGCTAGGACACGTGAAAAAATCTGGATGACAAGTGTAAGACAAATGGCTAAGTAATAAGACAATGCGTACGCCGTCTAAAGATGAGCAGAGTTCCTTACAAATTTCCGCCGATGGACGGTCTCCCAGAAAGGCGAGTAGGAAGATCACGACCGTCCGAGCATACAAGAGTAGGCTATTTCAGACCATTAAGAGCGAAAAATAATCAAGGAACAACGAAAGTCTACGCCATCATAATCACGTGAGCGACAACTATAGTAATTCAGCTTGTAGACACCTTAACAACGAATGGTTTTTTGCCGGCTTTAGACTGATTTCTCCAGACGGAGACTGCCCAACACAATCACCTCTACTAATACATCTAACTCGCTTCTGAGCGAACAAATTCTACAAAATGCATTGTTTCTTTTTAATGAGTAAAGACGAGCTTGGTGTTGCAAAATTTATTAGCGCACAACAGCTGACCTTTCGCCGGTTTCGTATTCTTCAGAGTCTGGAAGGGTTAAATTGACATGCAGTCTACTCAACCAAACACTTTGAACAATTAAACTCAATAATTACCCAAGTTTGAGAAAATACTGTAGTCACATCGATGCTATACGAACCTCCACCTGACTATCCTATGGTGGGAAGCCGATGGCGCTGTGTTGAAGTCTGTTACCATCGCCACTCGTACGCACAGGATTCTCCGTACTTTGATTAACGTCTTTGCAGATATCGTTTGCCGCCTAGACCATCACTGTTGGCCTCAAATCCTTCTACACACAAGATAATTTTCTGAGGTGGCTGGCATCTACGGTTACGATGAGCATCCGGCGTTATAGTTCTTCTCTCGCCACAGCCATTCGATGATGGAAACATCGACAATGGTGCCAGCACCACAACCACTACCGCCATTGCTGCCACCAATGCCGTCGACGGCATTTTCGAAAACCTCCTGAAAGACCTCGTTCTGCTACCGAAATTGGACGTTTCGTGATCGAAAGCAAATTTGACCAGGTGTAATGCCTTTTGAGGGAATGAAAAGAGGTGATCGCGCAGTGAGCAGGAACTTGCAAGAGTCACGCAGCCGACGTACCAAGAACGAGATAGCTGTTCCACATCAGTCCAATGTTCAAGTTGCGGTGATGGTTCAGAGGACAGTCGGCAAAGAGCCAGAAAGCACAAAGCACACGATGTTTGAAAGTACATATATCTTTGCGACCAGTGTTATAGTAGATGATAGAGTTACAGGACTTCGACAATCCCATATCTTACCTACTACTTAAACGCAGGATTTCGGCCGTATTGACGAGCAGGACGCAACATCAGATACGCAAGACACATATCAGGATATTTTGCAAAACTCCACGCACCATACTCCCGCAGATTTTTACCAGATGACTTTAAACTCTGAAATTTATAGAAAACTTTGTCCCCAACCTGTGATGGTACTGTTTATGCATGTTGTTCTACAGAATACCACAACCATGCAAGTTTCCTTCTTATGAAAGGTGTAGCTGGAAATTATTTCCCTATGATAACAACACACAATAAACGACGCTTAGTTCTGTATGACTTCCAAGTGGGACGACGCCTAATTTCATGTCGGCCGCAGACTTGGCACAACTCGTCCGCCGTTCACTATCAGCTGGTAATGGACGGTGCTGGTTTTTCCATCACCTGTATCACTTGTAGTCCCATTGATCGTCGAGTGACTTAAGAGGGCGCCAGTTAATCTTCTGTTTCTCGTTGTCGAATGCTAAAGTAGCGCAGTGGGTCTTGCTTGCTCTAGGGACTCGTTGAACATCCTACCTTTTTCTACGCTTTTTGTGAAAAATTCTGACTATAGGTTGGGCCGTCTTCCTCCAATACGTTTGCCATCGTGAGGAATCCAGTTACTAACGATTCTTGTCCATCAGTTGTCATTCATACGCATTACGTATGTGGTCCACTTCGTTTTCGACAGTTTGGTGTATCACTGCCATTTTTCCGTGTTTGACGGTAATTGTCGAAAACTAGACGACTGGAGAAGTTGAGAATATGAGAGATTTATGGAAAAGGCTTTGCTCTACTACTCTATAGGAATAGGTAGCCTATTAACACATTTGATGGTGGTCGAGCCTCAATTTCCCACGAAACTAACCATTGTAGTGGTAGCAGTTCTCAACTGGTCACACATACAGTTATTGGCCTTCATGGATTGAAAAGGAAAGAGGCTATAGCTTTTCCAGATTGTTGTTTCTATTTTGATCTCGTCAAAAACCTAAATTTCCAAAAATGGCCCGATTTTTGTCATAGTACAAAAATAACACTCGTGCATTATTGGCAAAATCTCTGAAATCTTCTGAACCAATATCTTTCAAACCGACGGTCATTTAACCTCAGCATTTATAATCTGATCTGGAAACGATTATTATTCAGTAGATGACAATCGTTAAAGTAACACATGGAACGGAAAAGAGCGCGTGTGGCGCAGTGGTCGGAGACACCCTGCAACACACGTGGAGTCAGTCGATCTTGGCTCCCATGGCCTACTAAGCCTTCCATTCCTCCGGGAGTCGGCAAATTGGTACCAGATTTGTCTGGGAGGGTAGCAGCACTGGCGCGATTCATTGGTAGTTCCACTTCGAATCATTGTAAATACCAGATATCAATTCAATCACCTCCAACGATACCGAACGAAGTTGAATGCATGGAGCATTTCTCAGGAATTGATCAACACTGAGAGCTTCATCGTTTACGTTCTTGGTTGTTAAGATATCACGTGGTTGGCAAAGATCTTTATTCGGCTGGCGTTTCAGGTCGATTGTTCAGAGTCGTTCATGTTTTCGATGTGGCGTCTTCTTCTTTGTACTGAGTTATTTCAGTCAGCAATGTTTGCTATGAGCTGAGATATGCCTGTTGAAAGTGAAGTGAGGACCAATCCTTGGTTCTGAAAGTTTTCATTAGAGAAGCCATGAATTACTCTATGAAAGGAGTATTCTAGAAGATTCGCTTAACGTTCTACAAGGCTCCCGCTTCGGTCTGGGTCGACTTCTCATCGAAAGTAACTATGAAGAAGTTAAGGAGAGGCGAACAATGTGCAATTTAGTGTGTTTTCTGTTGAAGGCTACTCAAAGAGGATAAATCCAGGAGTAAATGCTGGAAATGTTGATAATGAAGTCAGCGCTAAGTGATGTAACTATATATTTCCTAAGAATCACTAGATTTTGGAAGACAGTAAGTTTTCTTTGATTCGATAATCATTGTTTCAATGCAGAGAATCGAGAGACTCCCACGAGTTAATGTTTGCCAATATCTGGAGTCCGTTTGTGTGAACGAGTGAAATAGATATCCAGCACAGAAGATGTATTGTGAGAATTGACAAATGTTGACGAGGTGTAACGATTCATTGGTCTCTGTTCTAGGACAAATTATTAGATCACCACAGTCCAGGGATTACTACTGGAGTCCCAGTTTTGCTTTTGCATGTTATCGTATCTGATTCGATATTATGACAAGAGACGTAAGAAAACTTGTTGACTTCTGTTTTGTCGGGGACGCAGTGTATGACCGATGAAGCAGCTTATACAAGATTAGATATGCGATTTTCTGGATAAAGGAAGGCATCTTCATGCCGAGAGTTAGCACAGCATATAAAGCATCTTTTCTCTGAGAGGCCACTCAAGGAAGGGCCTGTTTTACTAACATCTGTTGGAAAAACAGAAACGAGTTTCTCAAGCAGGTCATCCATGTGAATGCGGAGAGAGGACGAGAGAAACAGCGCAACAGAATCGCAGCGGGTTAATGGTATTAAACAGAAAGAACATTAGCATGATGTCCACAATTTATAATGCGGTCTTTTCCTCCAACTCATCAAGGGCGTATGTTTTTACTTATTAAGTGCGTTATTAAAAATCAGTAAAATCAAGAAAATCTGTTCATTGACACAAAAGACCAGACGTCGTTTTATGTACGACTTTTCTTCCGTCCGTTCCCCAGTCTCGCTTCATAAGCACGCGGAAAAGCTACAGCGGGTACTTGCAGAAAATCTCTCTAAGCAGCTTCAAAATGGAGTGGTGTGCCTACCTCTTTCTACTTGCTTTATCCTCTGATCTGTAGTGCTTCCACACATTGACTTATTTAATAGGATATGTGTGAATTTATAAGGCAATATTAAGGCATTAGAAATGAAATTTCGCTGCAAAACGCTCTAAGCAAGTTGGTAAAGGTTGTGGCCGTTGTATGAAACGCTAGTGTTTAGAACGTTTCAAAGTTGATATGAAAGCATATACCTTTGTTACCAAGTGTAAGGTTCAAGCGAAAGATTTCATTTATATGAGAACTACTAGTTTTCAGTAGCAGTTGTTCGTTGCAGGGTAGAATTTCAGCTTCCAGGTATCGATTGTTAATTTTCTAAGAAGTTTGTAAATTGTTAATAATTTTCTACATGATTGACCTGACACAAGATTGGTACAAAAATTTCATTCGGCTAACGTTTCGACGTCTTTGTCTTCTTCCTCAGGGCTGCATTGATCCGAGTCGATAGTCCACATGTGGTCGCGGTAGCGAAGTGGATTCGTTGTCGCATCGAGTCAAATCCAGTTGAGGGAGCACCGTTCAAGTGAGGAACTTCACTCGGCCGTGCACTTTTACACGGGAGGTGTGTAGATCGATTCCCGCCTCCAGTATGACCTACACTAGGCGGGCCAGCGGTGCGTCTTTCACTGGATTCGACTAGATGCAACAACGAACATCCACATTTGCAAGAACGACAATACGCGGACCATTAACTCGGACCAACGGGGCTCCGTGTAAGACGATGACGCCTGAACATTAGCGGAATAAAAACTTTATACCAACGTCGTGTTAAGCATTTAGAAAACTATTGATTATTGCTACCGAGATTTACGAAAGTGGGCTTTTAAGATATGTAAATTGTATTTGTGTGTAGATGTTAAACTGTAAACTGAAGAGCAAATGTTGGTGAAGAATATATGTGGAAGGCTATGGTAACAAGCGTGATAACTGCTTCGAAAGTTAAACTCAGTTGAAGCACTTTGAAGAGCGCATACTTCATGAACCACGACGAGCCATTCTGAAGATGTCTCTCCAACAATTTATCACCCGATCACAACAAAAAGGGAACATATGACGCAGTGGTTAGACGCGATCTGTACTATACACGTGATCTTTGGTACGATGGTGCGCCTGAGCCTACTCAACCTTTAATCCCTCCGAGTTAGGATAACTGATACCAGACTTCTCTGGCAATATGGAAGCGCTGACTTGATACATTGACAGGCCACCACTGGCCAGATATGCATTAAAACGCCTTTAATAATGCTTAATAAAATCGAATTGAGGCGCATCTTTCAGGGAGTAGTCAAAACCGAACTCCCTTTTATCTCTTTTCACAGCGAAAAGCTGTCCCTTCATGTCCAACCCAAATTTTCAAGTGGAAACATTTCTGCACGCTTTCAATTCATAAATGGCGAGTTCGCGGCCCACACTAAACTATCTCGCAGTTGCATTGAAAATATGATTTTAATTTCGAATCACTGCTACAAACAGTAGTTTTGTTGACATCGACTGCAAAAGTAGATTAAGATCTACATAGACAAGTCTACAAGATAATTTATTCCTTAGCGTAGTGCAGAAATGCCTCCAAATGTCAAACTTCATTCTATAAGCAGAGAAGTGGAGGCTCTACTGCGCGCTTTCGAATGGTAACATTCTTTCTAGTAGGTGCCATCTTCAGCAGTAGTAATCCGGCGCTGAGAAGTGGACTCGTCCTTGAAGAATTTTTATGAACTATTAAATCTAGAGGATAGATTTTCAACGACTGCGTCTAACACAACTGCTGTGTTAAAGCAGCTGTCAGTTATGAATAAGGAAATATAAAAAATGCCCATTAAAGAGCTATGTCTAGAAAAATGAACCGCTGCAAAGGAAGCCCGTAA